CCAGTTCGAATCTGAACTTTTCCATTGTCTGACTGCACAATTAGGAGTCATACGATTCCGAACGACCGTCTACCACCCACAAGCAAACGGGTTGGTAGAACTCTTCCATCAATAGCTAAAAGCTTCTCTATCAGCTGCAAACGTCTCACAGTGGATCGGAGATTTTCCTTTTCGTCTTACCTGGTGTTTGCAATGGAGTGAAAGTTGACATTGGATACATTGCAGCTCAACTCGTTTATAGAACGACACTTTGACTTCCATGATCCTCCATCTTATTCAATGAATTTGGATATAAACTCCTACACGAAAAGGCTTTAATACGAAATGAGTTTAGTTAAACCTGTTCCCACTCAACCACAGTCAACTGATGTATTCGTTCAACCAGACTTACGATATAGTAAACACGTCTTTGTACGTCGATACTCATTTCGAAGACCTATCGAAAAAGTATACAAAGGACCCTTCAAAGTTCTTTGGCATGAACCTAAGTACCATGATATCAATTAGAACGGAACAAACGATAGCATCAGCATCGATTGCATCAAAGCAGTGTATCTAAAAGGAAACCCTATTTGCATCGATTTTCCTTCGGTACAATCGAAAGACACGACTCCTACACTTGCGTTACCGCATTCGATACTCAATAATCACGGTTATACTTTGGTAGTATCTGAAAACAAACCCAAAACAACGCATTCTGAAAGAAGAGTAAGGTTTCCAGAACACCTAAACGATTACTGCACGAAAGACACTAAATAACATTTTGTCTCTGTAATTACAAACGAGGGATTCCTAATTGACCACCTCTCAATTCTGGTTCAACTGGGTGGAAGCGATAACGCCGTCACAGCCTGTAGTTTTATGAGCGAAAATGAGCTAAGACATCCCACCAACAACAGACACTGGAATTTCTAACGGTTGAATGTGTCAGCTCTACAGGACTATCTTCAACAAGTGGATTGGAAAATTCACCCTCAACTTGATGTGGATGATCATTGGGTTTTCTTACTGCACGCCATCTTATGTGCTAAAACGCAGTCTGTTCCTCCAATGGTCCCCAAAATCTACAAGCAACCTACAGTCATCAAGAACCACACTCTTCGTTTGCTAAGCCGCAAAATGCACTGTTGAGTGGAATACAAACGCACAGTCCACCACAAAGAATGTCCGTCCGGTCATCAAAGAGCCTAGGATTCAAAAACGTACTTCAACCTCCAAACAACAAGGTGCTGAACCTGAACGCACCGGAAAACCTGGGAAAACAATAGCGTTTCGTGATGACTCTCTCATAGTCATGAACCTCAAAGACAACCCTGACCTTCCCCTCAGCTTGCAGGACAAAAACGACAGGATGCTCTGGGGAGAATTGAACGAGAAGCTTGAACTTCCTAGAATAGAGACTTTGACAGTCACACGGCTCACTCGAGGAAAGGAATCTAAGCATCAAAATCACTCGAGGCTTCTTCGTATAACACTTAGGAATGCTACCGACGTAGCTAATCATTTACTGAAATGCAATGGGAACGTAAGAATACTGCCCAACGTACTGTATTCTGAGCGCAATCTCATCCGGAACATCCCTAAAGAATCTCGCGAGAAGTTTTTCCGCGGAAGAAATATCATTGTGCAAGATGTACCGGAAAATACGGACCCTAGTCAAGCAAACTCTGATATTAGGGAGTGGAAATTCATCAAACAGTCCTTGAGGTTCAAAAACATGCTGACTCAACATGTGACGAGACTAGCCAAGAAGGACGATGATTCTAGACCCCAGCTAATGAGGACAACTTTCCCATCCTCCCATATGGCGGCTGCAAGTCAGGAAGCATTTCATGCCAACAGACGTCGGTTGACAACTGGAGTTCATGTGCACCCAGACAGGCCACATGACACCAAGATCAAGCACAACGGCAAGTTGGAGCTGACCATTCCACTTGTGGACTGTCTTGATCACAAAAAAACGTGTAAAAGACAGGGCCTACCAACTCGGCAACCCTTATACAGGTAGGCTACCTGTCCATTCACGTAAGGCTTATAAAGACAAACAGACAGAAGCTCACGCACTTCAGAATGAAAGCATAAACTGCTTATACATGAACGACGCGAGTCTACCAAAAAAATGGATGAGCTACGTGAACTTAGCAATGCTAATAAGGCTCATTTGATGGGAATATCTGAAACTTAGATATCTCAGTTTACGGACCAAGAGCTAGCAATACCTGGGATGTCCTTGTTTCGCGACGACAGAAAAACAGGAATTGGGGTGGAGTAGCCGTATACATATGATCTTGCCTGGAGGCACACAAAGTTCACAACCATGAGTTTAAAAATCTTGAGGAATCTGTATGGTGCCCTGTAATATTGTCTACTACTTCGAAGTGCCTAGTCGGGGTCATCTATGGGAAGCCCGCTGCTGACTGTAGATCACCAATGTAGATGATCTATGTCGAGACGATTGGAGACCTACTCGAGTTAGACGTGAACGGTGTGACAAACTAGCTAACATTGAGGTCACACCTCGTGGTCAGCACCATATGTGAAGTACCCCATTAACGTATCAAGGCACCATGGATGCTTTGAAGACTGTGGAACACAGAGGACGTTATTACAGAAATAAATTAGTTAAAGTAGATACAAGCGAAAGTAAGACCACTGCCGCATCGGCCAGTCCATGGCATACGATTAACTGATGCACGTTGGTTGTCCTCGACCTTGACGAGGATCGACGAGTTGTTCGATATTCAATGACTCGAATGCTGGATGATATGGCTAGGGCTTAATGACATTTCGCAGGCCCTACAGGAAGCCCACTGCTGACATCGAGTATTTTGGAATGACTATTCCGCTCTACGCGTCTCGGATTCACTCATATCCGGATTCTAGGGGACTTCAATCTCTCTAGATTAAATTTCGCGGAACATACGTATATCGGAGGTGTAAACTCAACTGAAGCTCGGTTCTTCAACCTCATTCAGGATCTGAGATTATTCAAAAATATGAATCCGACAACTCCTTCAAGAAACAGTCAAACACCATCGCGCCTAGACTGGGTATTTACAAGAGAAGAACTCCCAGTTGGCAACCTCTTAATCCTGGTTCACCTGGGTGAAGGTGATCACGTCGTCACAGCCTCTAGTTTTATGAGTAACGACGGTGACGCCGCTAACCTTCTGAGTGAACAATACTCTGGGATATTTCAACCGACCCACATCAACTTTACTGATGACAGCTTCATCTGCAATTGCACAGGACTTTCCGAAGTGAACCTGAGCGCTGACTTGGTGTACCGGAAACTGCAGCACCTAAAAAAGACAATTCTCCTGGTCCGGATATGGTTCGTTCTGCTATAGTGAAAGAAGCAGCTTCAATCCTGGCAACACAGTCTAGCGTGATGTTCTCACACTCGCTAAACCGAGACAAACTACCGGAAATTCGGAAGCTGGCTCACATCACACCGATTTCCAAAGGTGTTCGGAGCAGCGAACCTTTAAGTTAACGACGATGTCTCTTCTCTCTGTACCTTCAAAAATTTTGGAGTTCCTACAATGTGACGGCATGCACAACTATTTGTTATCCTTAAACTTCTTTCTACTCCCACATCATGGTTTCAGGAAGGGTCGTTTTTGTATAACCAACCTGCTGACTGCGGTGTACAGATGGACAACCGTCTTTGATCGCAAGGTTAAAGTTGAAGTCATTACCTTTATTTCTCAAAAGTTTTTGATAGTGTCAGGCGTATATGTCTTACCAATAAACTCAAACGAACGGGTACCAGACTATCTCTAATTGATTGGCTCACTTCAAATCTAAAAATCGACATTTTAAGATCAGGGTTAACTTCACTTTATCTCGGGCTATGGAGTGTCTTACTGGGGTCCCCCAGGGTTTAGTACTAGGACCCCTTCTCTTCTTGATTTATGTAAATGATCTTTCGCGACAGGTATCGTCAGACTTATTACTTTTTGCCGATGACGTGAAACTTTGTAGGGATACACAACCAAGACTATATACAGGCACTTCAGGTGGATCTGACTCGACTTCAAAGTTGGGCAGACAGTAACCAGCTTACTTTTAACACTTCAAAGTGTAAAATAGTCCATCTGCGACATGTTGCAGACTATAGTCACAACTTAAGTAACTCCTCTCTAATAGTATCCCGAGTCGAAAATGATTTAAGAGTCCTGGTACCGTACGACTTGAAGTCTTACGCCAACTGTGACAAAAATGCCTTTCGAGCAAACCTTGCACTGGTAACATTGAAGCGCATTTTTGGCCAGTTTGACGGAAGAGCTTTCCACATAATCTTCAACAGTTTCATTCGTCCTCATTTAGAATACAGAAACAGTATTTCCTCCATCACTCCAAAAGGTTAATGACCCTCTGGAGCGCATCCAACGGCGAGCCACGAGTTCACTTTGGGGACTCAAATTCAAACCTTATGAAGGGCGCCTCCAGTCACTTAACCTTTACCCATTAGAGTATAGGCGTCTCAGAGGTGACCTTCTGATGACTTACAGTATCCTCAAAACTTCTGGACATCCCCTTGAACGCTTACTTAAGTTTAGCTTCAACACAGAACTAAATAGTAACACCCAGAAATCGGAGATACAACATAACAGAACAGACTCTAGACACAACTCCTACTCCCTAAGAGTTGTCAAGTGGTGGAAGTTGCTGCCGACCGAACTAATCCAAACGACTTCCCAGGAGTCCTTTAAGAAGAAACTTGACCTGTTCTTACGGACTAAGGATAACATCTTATTAAGATTTGGAATATTCACATATTATAAATTTAAAACAACATATATGAGCGAACAATATTGTTCGCTTATATATGTTATTATGATTTATCAATTTATTTTCTTTCATATACTATCGTTAATATACCTAGGTTCCTGCCTGGATGTATTGGTGATCCACTGCTACTAGACACGGAAGCCTATTAAGCGAAAGCTTCCCCTATTCCGTTCATGAACATCTGAAACATTTGATTTTGCGCGCTCTATTTGGAGATGAAGTTACTTTCGGACGTGGTGCTTCGGAATTTTTGTAGCGTATTGTTTTCTAGCACCTGATATCAGTAAGCCATTATTTGACAAAATTTAGATACACATGTGCTTTATTCAAATTCCATAATGGAACATATTTAGGTTCCTGTCCATATTCTGTTGGTAGTTATATTATATCGGCTTATTGACGATTTTCTGGTCATTCAAAAATCATCAGTTAGTCAATAAAATTATTTTAAATAAGACACTTAAATTATATCAGATGAACACTTTAAACGCGATCGACGTGTTATTCATGATTGTATGCCCTCGCTTTGAATTCAGAGTAGATGATTTCGTTTTTAATGAATCACAGTCCTAGTCCAACTGGTTTGAAGCCTTATTTTAATTGACATCAGTTCATTCTTTAAGAAATTCGATGAATTAAACACTGGTTAGACAATTCAAATGACTAGAATTGTTGAAGTCCATAATCTCACAAGCTTTAATTCAGGATATCCCATCCAATATAATCTACGTGGCTGCCTGTTCATCAGGTAGTCTTCACTCTGGAGGGCATTATTCTACTTATATGTACTTCACACATAGTGGTTACGTAGCCATATTTATGCTGCTATAGTTTATCGAGCAAACACGAACAGCGTTCAATGTATGGAAAGTCGATTTAAAATGGCCAACTCTTCCTAAAACTGTACAATCAATTCGAAAACATCAGTCCTATTTATATGGTCACATATGTAGGCTGCTTACATATATACCGGATCCCTTAAGAAAAGGTTGTCGGTAATAGAAAGCAACCAAAATAAAAAATATTCATGAGTCATTGAAATGAAAATCAAAATTTAAGGTTAAGTGTCATAGGAGTAAATTTCCGGTTTCCGTCAGTATTTGTTTTGACTCCAATTTTTGTCATCATCAGTTCGTTTCGACTGCTATGCGAAACCCGATCAGCCTATTGCATAGCGATGAAAACGGGAAAATTGGTCTTTTGATCATCTTGATCAAACCAAACATGTTTCTAGTGACTTTCCATCTAAATGCGAAATATTACTTCAGGATTAGTCTGCATCAGTGCCCAAACTGGTCATATAAACATGGGCAGTCGAGAGCTTAAATCACTTTACTCATCTTGGAAGTCTCTCTAATTTGGTGCGTTGTTGTATAACGAATTCAAAAAGCTTCCCCGACCGACTTGCATCACTCATAGCGTAGACAAAATGTCTTTATGTTGTACAGCAGTTTTGTCAACTGATTAAGTGCGGATTGCATGCCTTGGGCATTATCGCACAGTAAGACAATATCGTCCGCATACTCAAGGTCGAGAAGTATTTCTCCAGGCAACAGATCCACACCACCATTACTTACATTCATCAGAGCTGTTTCCAGAATGTCATCGATGGCAAAGTTGAAGAGGAATAGTGAGATTGGGCAACCCTGCCTAACCCCACTGCTCGAATGGAACAATGGAGAAAGGTGGTTGTATGCCCTCACTCTGCCTGAGGTGTTTTTATATAGGGCTTTTAGGATGTTAATAAACTTCTCAGGCACACCCTTCTTCAATAGACAATCCCAGAGAACAGCCCTGTCCAACGAATCGAAGGCAGCCCTGATGTCGAGAAACACTACGATTGTTGGCCTTTGATAAGTATGGCGGTGTTCTAACATTTGGCGGAGGGTGACGATATGATCAATACATCCTCGACCAGAACGAAACCCAGCCTGCTCCTCGCGAGTCAATCTTTCTCGGGTTTTGAACAACCTACGAAGTATGACGGAAGCCAATAGCTTGGACGCAATCGGAAGTAGACTTATCCCCCGATAGTTGTTACAGGAACGACGTGAACCCTTTTTAAAGATAGGGACAACTATCGACTCATTCCATGACGTTGGTACACTCTCTAGTTCCCAAACCTTTGTAAACAACGTCGTCAATTCCTTAGTCAAAAAGTCACCACCATCTTTAAAAAGAGCCGGAGGTAAGTCATCTGGGCCAGGTGATTTGTAACGCTTCAAGAGTTGGAGTTCCTTGCGGACTTCCTCCTCGTTTGGTGGATCAGTCGTCACCGGCCATGGAGGGCAGGACAGTCTGACCGATGTTGCCGGAGCAACAGGCCAGTTGAAATGCCCTTCAAAAAATTCTGCCCATCGTCCAAGACGTCGATGGATGTTAGTGATTGGCATCCCATCATCCTCGCAGATTGTTTCACTCACACCAGACTTCTTGCCGTCAGTGGCTCGGATGAGTTGGAAGAGCTTCCGGTAGTTACCAGATGCAGCTGCTGCTTCCAGCTCATTAGCACGCTTCGACCACCAGGCTTCTCGGTCCTTACACAAGCTTTGCCCAATTTCAGTACGTAACATCCTTCGTTTGTGGTCAAACTCACGGTCACCCGGAGTAGACCGACGGGCTTCAATGAGTTGTAAGGAACCTGCAGAAACCCAGTGCTTATAAGCGGGACGTTTCGCGACCCCACAACTGACTGTACCCGCCATTTTCATGGCGTCACGCAATTGCAACCAATGCTCATCTATACTTTTCGGTGGAGTGGTAGCTAGCCTAGAGGCTAGCTCGGTTCGATACTTACTTGCAACAGAAGTTGCAACCAGCTTGCTAATATCAATCCGTTGATGGCGGTCACTTCGTTGTCCACTGAAAAGTAAGGCAAGATTGGCACAGACCAAGGCATGGTCAGAGTCCAGATAGGTACTCCAAAAGGAGCGGCAGTCTCGTACACAACCACGCCAGCGGTAGCTGGTCGCGATGTGATCAATCTGAGTCCAGGCTTGAGATGCAGAGGGAGGACGCCAGGTGGCACATCGGCGATGACTGTGCTGAAAGTTAGTGCTAGCCAGAAACAGGTTGTGGTCTGTGCACAGTTGCAGTAGACGGTCCCCGTTATCTGACCTGCGACCAACGAGTCCCCATCGGCCACCTAAACGACTCTCTTCTGTGCCTAGACGCCCGACCTGAGCATTCAAGTCTCCGGCTAGCACCACAATATCTGTCGAACGCACTTTCTGGAGAAGAACAGGTAACTGGTAGTAAAACTCATCCTTGATTGCATCCGGGCTGCAATCTGTCGGGGCATAGGCGGAGATGACGAAAAGACATCGTTTCTCACGCCGATTTCTTCTCACTTTGATGGAACTTTCTATTCTAACAGCACATAACCGACTGTTAATGGGGATCCAATCGACTAGTGCTGCCTCAGATCTAGCGCTTAGTGCGACACCAACGTCAGCAAGACTAGACGAAGATGCCACAGGGTCCCCGGATAAGCGCACGTAAAACAAGCTTTTCGAAGAGACAGATGGAGATCGAATTTGTAGTACTTCGCCAGAGTCTTGAATACGGGTCTCCGATAGACAACACACGTCGATATTAAGACTTTCCAAAGACATAGCCAGCCCTATCTGTTGTCCGACCTGCATAAATGTGCGAACGTTGAAGGCAGCCAGTTTGAATGATGCACGTGGTTTCAGAAAAACTGCTTCAGTCCTTGTATTCGGTGGTAACATACAATTTTCAACCGGACAGTGACTCGAGAACGTTTAGATACAGTCGGATTTCCACCAAAGACGAACCGCTGTATAAGTATAAAAGAGGGTGAATAATGTGGATAATAATAATAATAATAATAATGACAATAATAGTAGCAATAGTAATAATAGTATTAATAGTGACAGTAATTGTAATGATAATAATTTGAATCAATTGATTGATTTTCGAAGCGAGAAAAGTAATTTCCATAGGCATAGAGAGTTCATCATTTGTGTGTGGGCTGTGATACTGAGCGTGTGCCCAAACCGAAGCAGGTGGTTATCTTAGGGGGCCACACCCCGAGCCTTTGACCTAAAGGTCTAACCCACAAGGCAGTGGAGCATCGTAAGGAGATGCAGTCCCATGGTAGACGGTGACCAACAATTGGTTCATACGCCATTTGTTCCCACAGGATACTGAAGCCCATGTGCACCATTGGTTTGTGATCCGGTTAAAGCGCCGGACATTCGCTTTTCGTCCTCTCATTTTCGTAAACAACACCCCCGCCACGAGAAGGCAATGAGTAGGACTTCCCTGGCAGAGGCTATATACGCATGGCCGTGTGAGAGTATTTCGAGAGGGAGGACGGACTATCCCCACTCTCGGCCGTACCAGGGCATTCGGGGGCACCGTCTACCATGGGACTGCATCTCCTTACGATGCTTCACTGCCTTGTGGATCAGACCTTCAGGTCGAAGGCTCAGGGTGTGGCCCCCTAAGAAAACCACCTGTTTCAGTTTGGGCACCCGAGCAGTCTCACAGCCCTCACACATATCGAATGAGATTTGTGTGGCGCATATGTATTTGGTGCCTCCTTGTACCAATATCTATGTGTTAAAATAATAATAATAATTTGATCATAGATGCCTTCGAAGGATTGTTCACCTGTTTGAGTCAAAAGGTAAGATGCTGAGATTGGATATAGGGCACTGGGTAAAAATGTCATATCGGTTGATAAGATAATGAGTCTTCGTTGATTGAGGTGGTCAAGATTGAGTACCTGGACGCGCGATACTTGCTGTAGTAGAAGCGAGTTTGAAAAAGCTAGTGTCTAGACCAGGACGTGAATCTGGTCTATGAAAACACTATCTTACTGAACCTTATAGGGAGGTGCAAACTATCAGGTTGAGGTCTGCCCGCTTATTGTAACAAATAATTGAAGATGCTTAGTGACATGATCCAAAGTTATAAAATTACTTTGTACCCTTTGTTCTTCCACTCATCGTTAGTCATATTTTCTATACCTAGTGTTTTTTCTGTCACTGATACTTTTAATTATACTACCTTGGTATTCATCTTGGTAATTTCGTCTCGTAATGATGTGATGTTGAAACTTGCACCGATAAAAAATTGTGTCAGGTTTTACGATATTTGTGACTAAGAGGGGATTTGAAGTCTTTGGGCCATGATTCATATTTATCGTATGAGTACTATTACAAGTGTCTAGTTGTCAAAATCTTGTTAAGCACGTTCAGGTATGATAAGCATAACGTTAGTTGGGCACTATTGAGAACTGTTAAACCGTACCTGGATATTTAAGTTCTGCAACATTTGCAAGAAACAGTTTATTGTATTTGGTTTTCTTCATTTTACAGGTTTACGTACCGTATCAAACAATGAAATTTTAAGAATGTATCAAAGTAAACTAGAATGACGCGCATTTGTTGTACATTTTGTGATATGTGCTTCGGAAAACCATCTCGACTTGAGGCACATCTGAGAATCCACACTGGAGAGGTAAAACGTATTTCAAGTTACTTTTAAATAACGAGACCACTACTTATTGATTCTTTTGCAAAATGTTTTTACCCAGTTTCGAACATTACTTTTTTACCCTAAGTGATTGACGGCTGTTGAGATTAAAGCTATGGTAATACAGTTTAGTAAATAAGTGGTTTAAAGCACTAAGCTTTGTGCTACATTTTTTGTCTCTGATTAGAGGTACCATCTAGTTTAGTGATATGAAACCGGCTTTAAGATTCGCCCAGGTTGGTTAGTTATTAACACTTGTTACAATCTTAAACAATCTAACAGATTTTCTTATTATATCCTGTGCGTCATATCTGTACTATCAGTTAACCAGGGTTGTAATATATTTTATCCATCATATATTGAGAGTTCGTCGGCAGATATCCCTGTCATATATGGTAAATTTTGTCTTAAGATCTGGTCTTTAAGCTAGATACTTATTTACATTTCGAATACTTTTAGGACTACCAAATCATCGACCCATAGTGAAAACTAGTTATTGTCTCGCTCTGTACGAGTCCGCATTAATTCTCAGAAATGCTTAATTCATAAAACCCTATTAGAAATGTACATGAAACTCTTCATAACAACATATGTATTCCATCCATTGAATATACGGTCTGAGTTCATGGAAATTTTGTTTAATAAAACCCGGAGTACATCAGTTTTATTCCCTTCAGTATATTCTTAATTTATTGAAATGCGTCTGTCTCATCTCCGTCCTCAACATCCATGAAACTCTTCAGAAGTTAGGCTCTTTAGCTTCCTCGTTTCAAGTTTTTCTAGAATGATTTGTTCCAACGGTGTTCCTAAATGCAGTTCATAGATGACCTTGTAGATAGTAAATTGGCAATTAAAGAGGGCTAAGGACCTGAAAAATTCCATATTCTCATCAACTGAAGAGCTTGATGATCATCTGGACGTCGTTGTAGTCATCATGGCTCCTACGGAAACTCTTGGTCCACTTGAAACAAGTTTTATTGATTGTATCCCCGTAAACCTCCTGATATTTCATTGCTTTCCTGATAGTCTTTCCCAAGTTCCACCATTTCAGATAAGTTCTCGTATTTAGTCAGCAAAGTAGTTACACTTACATATCTTAACACTTGTAAATTTTTCTTTCTAATTTGATGCTAAGATATGTCAAAAATACTAGCTGACAGATTTATTAATCTGGCATTGTTGTGTAATTGGTTTACTGAGCAATTGCCTCGTTTTATCAGTACACCTAGAGGAATTTACTGTGCTTTCGACTATTACTAAAAATTGCTGTTATTGAGTCTTATCTACGCAAAATACCATTTAAATATGAATTATCCCTCGATGTGTCTGTACGAGATTTCTAGGTGATATCGGCTTGTTTTCGTATTACCTTGGTAGACCTATGACTTGTTCTTAATGAATATGTTTTCGTGATATCCCAATGAGTAGAAAATTGTATTTCTGACGTTTCGCGACTTAATGTAAGCCACTTGTTTCAGAGTAAATAAAGTGACTTGTTCATTTAAATCTTCAACTGCTAACTTCTGGATAATAGGTCCAAATCTTACTCCTCGGAAGAATAATACCGCTTATTAGTAATCTCGGTTTTCTCCACACTGTTTATGTAGCTTATCGTAGTGTGCTTTTTCATGGTTGCTAATAATCGGTTTTTGTGAATTGGAGCTGTTTTAAAAAGAAATATGTCTACCTTCATTTTTCTTAATTTAACTGGTAAAAAACAGGTAAATGTACCCTAACTCTGCATTGAACAATAATCTAGGATTTATCTGATGTTAGTCGGCTCTCCCTCTCTAAATGCTCTCACATGGCCACGCGTATACAGCCACTGCCAGGGTAGTCCTACTCACCGCCTTCTCACAGCGGGGATGTTTACGAAATTGAGAGGAGGAAAAGCGAATATCCGGCACTTTAACCGAGTTGGTGGATATAGAGGATCCACCTAGGTGAGTTGGAAAACCCTGATTCCAAATCAATGGTGCACATGGACTCCAGTTTCCTGAGGGAGAAAATGGAGTATGAACCTATTATTGGTCACCGGCTACCATGGGATTGCATCTCCTGACGTTACTCCACTGCCTTACGGATCAGATCTTTTGGTCGAGAACTCCGAGTGTGGCCCAGTAAGAAAACCACCTGCTTCAGTTTGGGAACCCGGGTAGTATCACAGCCTACACACACATTAAGTGACTTGTGTGGTGCATATGTATTCGATGCCCTTTTGTACTAATATTTATATGTTCAAATAAATAAATAAGTTAATATCACTTTGCATATGCTAAGGATTTTTTCGATTTTATGTCTAACCAAGCTTGCTTTGTATGTTATGCAGTTAGATTACAATAAATTAAACTCCTTGTTGGTAAAAATCAAATTATATTTTCTGAGCTTTGTGACGAATCGCACAGTGTCAATCAATAACAATAATTCCGCCAGTTTTTCTTATGCTGAATGTCTGTTTAGTTTTTAAAATAACTAGTCTAGTTGACTTCCGAAATAGGAAAGTAATTAATACTGTTTAAACTAGATTTTCGTGCCCACTCATGATCATTCTACAGGTCATTTATAACTTTATGAGTAGTTGATGGTTAAACTGTTCAGCCTTTATCTATTTGGTCCTGTTTTACCTATTTCTGTTTGGACATTCGTGTTGTATAATAACAAACAATAATTAATACATGTCGCGTTACGGCGACGAAATTCCCAATATACATCGGTGTGTGTGTTGGCGAAACCTGTGAAATGACTCAGTTCAAGTCTTGTTCAGCATAGTGTTCGTAAAGTTAACAAATCCATCTTTTCTCATTGTTCACTCCACTGCTAGCGTCCATATGTGTGTATTTGTGGTAAAAACTATACACGGAAACAACATTTAACTCGTCACGCTTCAAAATGTCCCAAAACTATTCCAGAAAACAACTTATCTAATCAAAAGGAGCCAGTAAGAGTCGAAAAAACCTATTCGTGTTCACAATGTTCTGCTGGACCTTTTCAAAAAAAGAAAATGGTATCGGCTCATATGGCTGTAGTTCATGGGTAGGTGCTACCATTTTTGTTTTGTTACTACTATTTGTAAAAAGTTCATCTTACGTTTACGTATGACTCTTATTCTTTTCTTATTTAAATGGTCTTCAACCACTGGATCAAAAATTAGTTTTCATTACCTACGTCAGTTTCAGGGGCTATACAGAAGTACCAATTGAATGAACTAAAGTGGCATGATTCACTCCTTCATGTACATTTAAGTATTCGGTTGCTAACAGTGTATTAACTTAGTTTGTTCCGTTTCATGTTTGCATATAGTCGTGTTGAGACTATACTCAACTATTTAATATCCATGAGTACAATTAATACGATTTCATTCGCAGAAAATGAGTGTAACTGTATGATTCGCTGCTTTTCTTTCTCACTTGTATGCCTGTAGTGGATTATATTCGGGATAATTTCTACTACTTTGTATATCACTCATCCTGTTAACCGTTATTACATAGCTCTCATCGGTATATAAATTTCAAGAGACAATACGAGGCATTGAATACAGTCCATTGATGTTCATACAGACATGATGATTATTTTAAAAAGGTTTAAATAAATTATTACTGTTGGGATGACACTGTCAAACATGTTAATTGAAAGGCTTAACAAAATTGAACTGAAGTGTAGATAAGGTGCGATATTTTATCGGGCAGTCTTAGATACACTCCTTTTATCAGAGAAACTTTTCTGGAAAAAATGTATTCAGTTGGTCCTAAAATATCTGTAAAAATGTACCACTGAGTCTGTGCGGTTATATTTTTCTGTATAACATATTTTCAGTAAACTGGATCAAATGTTTAAGCTAAAGACTGCAGTATTTTTCTCCAATGGAGGCATTCTTTTAGTAGCAATTGTAAACTTTTAACTAATAACGTTAATAATAAATCTATTTTCTATTATATTCATGTGAGTAGATCTAACCGAATTCAGTTAGTTATTTACTCTGGAAAAGTGGCTAACATTATGTCACGAAAAGTCAGAAGCCAACTCCATTTAGTCAAGCGTTAAGCAATATTCATAGTTACACAAAAATAGGCTACAGACATGTGGTGAATAGGATACGAAATGTACACACACATATGCGCTCATATAAAAGCAGTCAAGATTGATAAGCGAGTAAATAACAAGGTGAGAATGTGACTCAAGTAGAATGAGTAGATTGACCGGTCTGAAAGCTAGAATAAGGTATATGGACTAAACATAATAACCGACACTACAGGGAGTCGTGAGTTCGACAGATCCCAGTTCTGTACTGCTATCTCCCATATCACGACATCATATCATAAACGGGCCACCTCTCCTTTTTACAACGTGTCCTAGTGTCTGTAATTAATTCACGATGTAGGATTCTCTGGGATGTCATGGGGAGTGTCTCTGGTGTCACCTCATCATAAATGCTCATTTCGATTTGTGATTCTTTTAAATGTCGTTTGATGAATTCCGTTGTAAGCTCCCAAATTATCGTGCAAATTAGATCGCTATTGTTGATTAGTAGAGTGGTTGTGAATCTAGTTGAAGCTTTTCAAACTCCATCTTAGAAAGTTGACGGTGAGGAATTTTTGTAGTTTAATTATCACTATTATAGGTCCGACTTGAATTGAACTGAGCTGTCGTCTAAAAGAGTAGGTGTTCAGGCAGAAAGTAATTGGGTATGTTTCACCAAAGACGAGCCGCTGTATAAGTATAAAAGAGGGTCACAATTGATTGATCACTGGGTGGTAATCAATGTCATGCTTGTCTAGTCCTTATTAGTTCAGATCAAATGCTATCGATCATGTTGCAATGTAGCCACCAGTCTAGGTGACTCGACACTGCGGGCAATATGTATTGAGATTTAGATGGAGGTTGGAGGTTTCCTGTTGACTACCTCCAACCACCATCTAAATATAAAAGAGGGTGAATAATATGGTCAATAATAATAATAATAATAATAATAATAATAATAATAATAATAATAATAATAATAATAATAATAATGATAATAATAATAGTAATAATAATCATTTAAATCATTTGATTGTTAGTTGAAGCAAGTAAAGTAGTTTCCATAATTATAGGCAGTTCATCATATTTGTGTGTGGGCTGTGATACTGCCCGGGTGCCCAGACCGAAGCAGGTGGTTATCTTAGGGGGCCACACCCCGAGCCTTTGACATAAACGTCTAACCCACAAGGCAGTGGAGCATCGTAAGGAGATGCAGTCCCATGGTAGACGGTGACCAACGATTGGTTATTACACCATTTGTTCCCACAGGATACTGAAGCCCATGTGCACCATTGGTTTGTGATCCGGTTAAAGCGCCGGACATTCGCTTTCGTCCTCCCATTTTCGTAAACAACACCCCCGCCACGAGAAGGCAATGAGTAGGACTTCCCTGGCAGAGGCTATATACGCGTGGCCATGTGAGAGCATTTCGAGAGGGAGAGCGGACTCTCCCCACTCTCGGCCGTACCAGGGAATTTGGGGGCATCCTAACCGTTGTAGTTGATATGCACACTTATAAGAGAATCAATTGATTTGTGATACTGTCAATCATCTTATCCAGGAAGTGGGAAACCTAATATGAAGTTTCTTAATAAAACTATATATATCATCTATTTTACATTAATACATTATTCAAGCGAACGGAAGCATGTATGTGACAAATGTGATCGAGCGTTTCCTACGGCATCTAAGCTTAAACGTCATTCATCAAAACATCATGGTTACACATGTAAGCTGTGCTCTGAACAACTATCTGAAAACCCTGAAGACGAAGAATCAGTTGCTCTCAAACCCATTCAATTTGAAAGTTTTGCGTGTTTGAGACGCCATATTGCTGAAGCTCACCCCAAAACACGTAAGTTACTTGAACCTTTGTGCGTTTATTTACTTCACGAGGTTTTGTTGCTTATTACTTTGATAAAATATATTTATGTTTTCTCAAAACACTAGTGTTAATATCATAGTTTACTTCCAGTTAGCTACTCTTATATATTTTTCTTCTTGTTCAACTGTTTTGATTTTGCTTTCTCTCTAAGGTTGTGTTATAATTTCTCTTATTACAACCCATCTATGCCTATTGCTTAGTATTCTCAGACACCAATTCACTTGACAAGTCCCCAAATCAGAACACTGTTGAACAGGAATGAAATTATATTCCAAATAACAAGGGTAGATGGAAGTAGGAATGGCACGAAGAAAAACGTCAGTGCATTTATAGTTTTTACACGAGAAGATTCTAGGGTCTTCTTCAAGTCTCCGCTAGCACTGAAGGGCTGGGAAATAGCCAATCAATGTGTCTGATCGCAATCTTGCACCGAACGTCCTTTAATCCAATCTATAGCCTGCCAACAAAGGTCATGTAAAAGCCATATATGGAGTGCTTACTTACTTCATGACACCAAAGTTTCTCGCATAGTCCGAACTTCCCTCCTTTTAATTGTTGTTGTCGAAGTGTCTTTGAGTATTATTTGCTTGATGTCTCTGTATCTGCCCACTACGTAGAATCTCTTCAGTCGTGTAGATCTCAGTACAGTTAGTTTGTCAGCTATTAGTGACTGTGATGAAATGGGCAGTGAATACGGTTGTCTCTCCCTAATAGTTTGGATGTTACTGAGCGCCGGGAACATAAATGACAACCTCTGCAATCTAGTTAAGAAGAATTATTTTTTAACGAAAAAATTATTTATGTCCATTTTTAATCAACTAAGTATTTACCATTTTTGAGGAGATTACAAGGTCACTTGAGATTGGCGAACAGAACGAAGGATCAGTTACACAATAACAAGACAGCTAAAATATTCCAATGCGTCTCAGCCCCTCTAATTAGAGAGATAAGCCAAAAGCACGAACAACAAGCACACAACTCAAGCGTACACATACAGCATATAAATATCCTTGGGAAACGTTATAAAGTAGCTTATTAAAAGAGCAACCAACTAATGACATCTAAGGTCCAGTCAAGTGGGAAATGTAAGCTGGAGGTAAAAATGGGCGCTTTTGGCGTGAAAACGAGAAATTCAAATCTTCAAAATAAAATTACAAAACTACGAAATCAACCGAGTCATTTCTGGGGATCTAGCATCCCCATCAACATTGAAGTAAGAAAAAAAGTGTTTGAATGATTGCATCAACAATTTAATGAACTATCTAGTGGGATTATTAAAAAAACTTGTCAGTATAAAGCAATCTAATCAGTCCGTAGCGTAAAATTTGGGAAAAAGAACAAGTGCTACTGACAAACTGGAATGAAGGATACCTCATCAAGATGCGAAAGAAAGATCTGAGCGAATATGAGAACTCAGCTTCAGTGACATCACACTACTTTCATTACCAGGAAAAGTTTTCAACAGAGTGTTGCTGAACCGCACGAAAGATTCATTAGACTCCCAACTTCGAGATCAACAGGCTGGATTCCATAGGGACCGGTCATACACAGACCAAATCGCGACACTACGGATCATCGTTGAGCAATCCATTAAATGGAACTCGTCACCATACATCAACTTCCTTAACTATGAGAAGGCGTTTGACAGTGTGAATAGGAGATTCTTATGGAACCTTCTTTGACACTATGGTGTGAGTAGCTGTGAAAATCGTTAACATCATCTGGGATTCATACGACGGACTACAGTGCAAAGTGGTGCATGGGGTACAGCTGGAACGCATTCCAAGTCAGGACCGATGTCACACAAGGCTACTTGCTATCACCTTTCTCTTTCTTCTGGTTATTGACTAGATTATGAAGATCTCCGCATCTATGGGGAAGAACGATTACTATAAACAGCTTGGACGTAACTAGATGATTTGGACTTCACAGTCGACCTTTCCCTTCTATCCCATACACACGAAGAAATGCAGATGAAGGCAACTAGTGTAGCAGCAACCTCTGAATCAGTAGGCCTCAACGTACACAAAGGAAAAAGCAAGATCCTCAAATACAACAGACAACACCAACCCAATCATACTTGATGGAGAAACTCTGGAAGATGTGGGAACTTTCACGTACCTGGGAAGTATCATCGATGAACTTGGAGGATCCGATGTATATTTGAAGGCGAGGATTGGCCAAGCAAGGGCCTCATTTCCACAATTGAAGAACATATGAAACTGATTACAGCTGTCTCCAAGCCACCATCAAAATCAGAATCTTCAATGTGGACGTCAAGACAGATTCACTGTACGGACCTGAATTGTGGAGAACTGCCACAACCATAATCGAAAATGTACAAGTATTTCTAAACAATTGTCTACACAAGATACTGAATGTCCGTTGACCGGATACCATCAGCAACAGCCTATTGCGAGAGAGAACAAATCAGCTTCGAGTGGAAGAGGAAATTAGGAAGTGGATTGGACATACATTGCGGATTCTACTTTTTTCCGACTCACTATCAAATTAAATTAACAAAAATAAGGAAAAATCATGTACTGTAGATAATGGATGTTGTACATATATCACATTGAATTACAATATGATTTGGCGCTTGATCTTATGCCAACTAATGTCAACTTTGAAAATGGAACAGGTTTATTTCAGAAATAATAGCTTATTAAAAGAATGCCAACACTTTTTCTAGTGCGACATTTTTTAAATAGTTGATTATTTGTATTCATCTCACATCACAGTTTACCTTACTTTTCCGTCACATAATCTCCTCTTTTTAAGAAATGCAATTTACCTAATCATTAAACACTGGTGTAGGAATTTTAGTTAACTGCACTTAATTAGAATTCTTAAGGAAATTTATTTGAGGAGTCCCACAATAGAACGAAACGGCCGTCCAGCGCTTCCAGGTTTCCAACGGCGGTCTAACATCAATCGGTTCATGATTTCAGTCAAAAACTTAATAATCTCCACAACCCCTATACTGATATATAAATGCAATTCATTTGTTAAGTGTAGATTTATGTAGTTTGATTTGAACCATCCTACATGTTTAGGGTCTACTGACACTTTTTTTCTGGTTAGCGTTTGTTTAGCAAGGTTGTTTTCTACTGTATGAGGTTGGTGACTCCATACTCAACTCTCCTCCTTTGTATGGGCTTGTTACCAACAGTAACCCTGGAATAGCTACAGACAGACTTAAATTTTCTAAATTGATTTTTATGCTGATATTACTACCCATCTATCCAAATCGAAGTAGGTACAGTGCCACTCAAACCTTGAACTTACTGGTTGAAAGCTGTGTACTTTAGTCATCAAAATCAGCAAAACATGTAAATTAAGGATAACTTCAGACGATTTAGACTAAAAATAATGAATTTATTAGTATGTACAATTAGCCGTTACTACTATCGTTACTTCAACTGTATCTGTTCTTATTACATGACCATTTTTTCACAGCTTTGCAATGTCCTACTTGTAATATGCGTTTTACAAGACCTGCTGCACTAGCAGAACACAAATCTACACATACCCCTGGTGGACCGTCTGTAAGACGACGTTTTGTTTGTCCTTTATGCTCACCTGATGTTATGGGTGATAAAGATAATTCCAACTCACAAGAAAAAGATTGTCTTGTTGCATTTACAGCCAAAAGAAATTTAGATGCTCATATGCGTTTAGTGCATGCTAACCTTAAGTTTCCATGTACATGGCGTGGATGTCCTGTTCTTTTGTCTACCAAAGTAAGTAGACATCTAGTATATTTTTAGCAGTAACATGTGTTTGCCTATTAGCTTGATACATAGGAATATTTTAGTGACAAAATATATTGTCATACAAAATTATTATCTGTTAACGTCTATTACTAAATCATATGTTATTTCATCAACTGCTTGTCCTTTATTTTTATTTGTCTTGAGAAATGATTGGCTAGTGTGCCAAGATAGATACGTTCGGCGATAGGAATGTCAGTAAATATGTGATACATAACTTTGTATTTGTATCTAACACTGTATTTTACTGCCCTGGATTTCATTGGGTGTTGTACTGATTTTCACTTTGCTAATAAGACACTGTATGCCTCGTGACTAGTTCTCAATCGTCCGTTGGATACTTTGTGACTTGAAGCACCATTTGATCTAGTTTTTGATCTTATGTATTTTTTTGATGATTCTATTAACTGTTATATAGCCTACCAAGTCGTACTGTCTGCTGTCAATTGCATGAATGCGGAATCCAGTTTATCGACGTTAGTAAACATTTTATTTCTGAATTTTTCCGCAATATACCTTTAGTTTGTTCGCTTTTTCAAGATTGATTGATACTGTACATGTTTCTACGTATCTCAGAATATTTTTAAGTATTTACATTCCAAATTAACATCTATAGAAAATGAACACTAAGTCACCTTGATTCAGCGAACATCATTTTTAATGTTAAATGTTTGCAGCAACTCATCATCGTATGACTATAATTTAAAACCTTAAGAATTTTTTGTCTGTCTACTCTGAGTCAATATATACACAAAAATACGATTTTCATGAATCTAAGCATTAGGTGTTTTTCTCACCATTTCTCATAGCTTCCAGTTGCTACGTGTACAATAAAATGTGATTCATGATTGTGTAAATTCTCATTATTCACTAGTTGACTAAGTAAAATCCATATGTCTCTTCAGGGCAACTGAGGTAATCTATGCCTCCCTTCATTGGCAATTTTTTTAGTGAGAAATAATACATTTAAGAACTTGTTTTATTTATTAGTATTACACTGAGCTATAATTAAAGAGTTATGGACAGTCCTGAACCATGTCAGTAGGTGCGAACGTCTATCTATTCCACATAAACTTGTGTCACAATGGCTATATCAATGTATTCCGCACAGTATGCACGTTTAACTACTAGGACTGATGAAATTTCAGTCAAGCTGTCGACAGTGGTACAGTTCAGAAGCATTCTAAATTTGACATTTATATTTATTCGACTATATTACTTATGAGTAGCTGAAAAGTTTTAATCTCACTTTTCCTTTCTTATTCGACGTGAGAAGTCACTTTTGTCTATTTCATGAACATAGTAAATATTCAATTCTATTAATTTCACCACTTTACTCTTTATTGGTTTCTTTCTCTTAATATTTAGCAAAAACTGAATGAACATATGGAACGTCATCGACTAGGCAAGTCAGTTGCTTTCAAAAGCCGAAATAGACGTAATTCACATCATGTTTCAAGTAGAAAATTTAATGATAATAAAAATTTATTAATGAATAATAATGAAGATTATTGGGAAACAGCTAGTCAAAATAGCATTATAGCACTGTTAAGTGATGTAATTGATTGTTCAGCTAATCAAATTTATTAATTTTTTATGAAGTTAGTTTCATTATTGTATATAATACTATTTCGAACTGAATGGAACGAGAAGAAAGGAAAACAGATATGTAATTAAAAATTTACAGAGTATTTATATATTTTGTTTCTATTTACATATATTTTCAAATTAACAAAGTGTATCAAATGATACAGAAAATAATAATAAACATTTATATTATACTACTTATTACAATCAATTTGTTACTTATAGCAATTAGCTTATTAGTTAAAAGAAAATCTAATTGTCATATGCTCACTAGTGACCAACTTCATGAAGGAATTCTCGGAGTTCTAGTAAGAAGCCATGACCAGTGGAACTAATCAGTGTCGGGTAGAGACAGGTATCTACCTCAGTACAATGGGAAATGGTCGCGCAATTTCGTGGATTGGTAGAGGTTAGACATTAAGACCGTTGGATGTCGGCTCAGTGGTCTGGAGGTTGAGCGTTTGCGTAGGGGACTGAAGGCGTTGGGTCTGGATCTTGCGAACGGGATCGCAGGTGCGCACTGCTGAGGAGTCCTAAAGTAGGACGAAACGGTCGTCCAGTGCTTCCAGGTTTTCAACGGTGGTCTAACATCAATCGGTTCATGATCTCGATCAATAGTTGTTAAAAGATAGCCTATACAAAGTCATTGTAAAACTAAACAGATCTTTGTGTGTTTAAATGTGTATTCAAAACTTTTTTCATTTATTTATTTGAACACATGAACATTAGTACAAGGATGCACTGACTGCATATGCGCCACATAATAACATTGAGGTTGTGGAGAAATAGAGAATGGAGGGTGAGTAACTATGAATATAAATTAGGGTGTTAGAGTGAAGTAATAATAATAGTATTAATAAAGGCAGAAGCAGTTCAGTTAGGGAAAATACATTTACTTTTATGACGAAAATAAAAGTACAACAGAATTACTACTACTTTTTATTACGAACCATGTCCAATAACGTTGTGTCCAAGCCATTGCTTTTTCTCATATCGTCTTACGGTTCGTAAAACGATAAAACGATCTCATTTGTAAATTAAGCTGTTGCTTCGATATAAATTCATTTTACTCTCCGAAGCCACTAATAACTTATCTACCTCATCTACAAGTTCGATTATGATTATAACAAATACTACGACATTCAGTTAACATTTCTGTTACGCAACTCAAACTGAAGTTATGACAGTTAATCATGAGGTTTTTATAAGTTATAGGGTGATCTTATGAAAATTTCAAGAAAATAGCACATAGTGAATAAGGATTATAATTGTTGGGAAGGACAAAATTTGATACAATATTTGAAACTGCATCTGACCAACCGTATTATGTGGTTGTTAAACAATGAGAACTTCTGAATAAACCACTCTGAAAACAGCTACATTACGATATTATCAGAAGTAAATAGAAAGGAACCTACATAACATTAAAGTAGGACTGAGGATTGATGTGTGGCTAGTGAAGTGAAATGTGATTAGTTACTGAGAGTGAACAAACAAACACTTACTGACTATTATATATGTGACTTCCTTTCTTGTTATTGGTCCATAATTTGGACTCAGTGAGAGAGACTGCTTGTCATTGTGTGGTCTAAAGTATTGTCCAGCGTTTATTCTGGTTTTCTACTTTTTGTCATGAATCGGCCATCTGATGTAATATGATCTCGTACGTGTATCTTTCGAGTAACCAATCTTGCGGTAACCAGTCTTATCATAGAATAGCAATATGTTGTGGGAACAACCAAGTATAATAACTCTTTAGTTATATCAGGAACAATAACAGATTATAGCAAATTAGCTATCTCTAAAGGAGATAGATTATGTATAGAATTAGGATCTTAAGCCATCCACCTTTTATTTACATTTACCTACATCGTTTATTTTGTTGTAGTTCAGAAGGATTTCAGCTATCAATATTAAAGGGAATAAGAGTATTTATAACATCAGTTGGGATCGCACAGAATTAATATAGTTGTGCTGTTTTAAATAAATTCCTAGAGTAGGATGAATTGCTCCAATCTCGTTGATTACATTGATTACTCACGTGAGATTAAGGTATATTACTATAGAACGTAATATACGTCCAACATTCTATTTTGAAACGGTTGTGTAACTCCTAAGCAAAGATAAGTATATACACAAATATGAATTTACGATGCAATGTTAACTATATACTTGAGTGTTTCACAAAGTAGGATCATAGGAACATCTGAAGAAGAAGAAGCAATTGCGAGAGTATTTCTAGGAAGAGTTTTCAAACCAAGCTCTAGAGAGAGAAAAAAGTAAAAGATCTATTCGTTGAGTTGTAAAACCTATATTCATTCACTATAGAAAAAACCGTTTGAGTTAGTAAATCTGGTCGATTTGTGTGAAACAAATTGTTTAGTAATAAAAGTGAAAATTGATAAACAGAAACATTTCTCGTTTGCTTATTCTTGTTATAGCCCAAAGGCCCCAATCAGAAGCAGCGAATTATCGATCGGACCAAGGACGCGTAAAACACGTGCGAGCAGCCTAGAGTCTTGATTGGTCCTGCTTTCCGCCTAGCCTACCCAGTTAATTCCAGAACATCAGTCTCAGCTTCTGTAACATGAATCATTATATTTCAAACATACTCTGTTTATATACCAATCAAACAGACCACAACGCACCAATAAAATATGAACAACATTTGTACAAGAATTAGCCAGATGTGGCTGTGAATGATAGAGGCAGTGACTAATAGACAGGGAATAATTCAAGAATGGAAAATCATATAATAACAGTTCATAGGTTAAAATAAAGCTTATGATAAGAGAGACATGAATATGAATAGTTTAGTTTATTGACAATTATACGATAAAAATATACGCACAGTATTGGTCTATCAGTAGATCCCAAAAGTTAGCATTCACTATTCTTGTCGGGACATAACAATTCTTAAATAAATTCATACATGTAATCATCTTCATCTCATCAAAACAAACGTTTGAAAGGAATTTTAAACGATCATCTTGTTGTTTTAATAACATTTTTAAGTGTTATTTTATGCTTGTAACTTATTTACAATATCTAACTTTAAGTGATCGGTTGAGAACGTTTATCTTAATTCTTACTATCCGATTATTTTCAAAGTTACACATTCATTTTCATTTCTTTAGCCTTAAATAATTATTCACAATAACTCATTGATTTTTAAGACGAAAAATTCCACTTTCGTTTCGCCCCCCTGTTTTTTTCTTATTCTTTCGTAATCGTTTGTAATGACCAACTCAGTGACCAATCATTGTATTGTAGTTTGCCGTCGAGTCGTTGTTGAATATGATCATCACTACAAGAAGGTTGCGTACCAGATATCAGAAGGCGATTGGAGGTTGTAGCGAGATATATTTGTTGGCGATCTCGTGGTATCGAAAGAATACCGAAATCGTACCAAAGGAGTACAAGCGGAATCACTGAGCAAACGTAAGTGCGTGCAAGGTCACAATCAACGGAAGGAAGAATGTTTTTAGTACAGTTAAACAAACAAGTACAATAAAACAATCACTGGTACAATTAGTTATAATAATAACTGTTTCCATTAAACCAGTCGCGTTTTCTTGATAAAAGTAGGTCACTACAGTATTCTACCAATGATTTTTATGGATGACAGAATATAGATAAATACTATCCATTAGGTACATTATCATTTAATTGGTAATGATTAGTGAAAGTTGACTGGTGAAATTCAGACATGTCGGAAGTAATTCAGTTGCACTGGATGATTGTCTTACTATATCGTAAATTGATTTGAGTTGAAACTTTATTATTGGGCACCGAACTAGCAGTTTTATTGATTAGGCGTTCACGTTGAAGCCTTAGAAGTTTTGCATTCGAGACCTGGTGGGATCAAGTGAATGGACTGTTGAGAAGTTGCATAATAGGACGAAAAGCTTTTCCATTTCTGTTCAGTATCTGTGACTGAGATTAATCTGTTGCGAATAAAACCTACAAACTAATTTTTTGAAGTCGACCATTACATACTGATGTGAAGTTATAATGAGTAACTAATTAAAAGGATAAAATTGCTTCATTCAATTTATGTTTTCAACTATTTAAATGCAACGATTCAAACTGTGATCATAATGCAATTATAAATTATTAAAAGTATTTAACATTGTATTACTATTCTAATGTGTTTACAAATTTTTATTAGCTTCCTTTGAATTTTAGATTAATTTGTCTCTTCCATCATGGTTGATGTCATCAATTTTCTACGTTTGAACTCTTTGAATGTGACTAAAAACCTTTTAATATAGTTAGTATGTTATAGGATGATTGCATTTCTATCTTGACTTTGTGTACATTTTAACTGAATAACTGTCAATATGTTAATTGGTCAATGGTGTAAGAAACCGAAACGAAATATGTTAGAAATAAATTCACTTGGTGTTGTTTTACTTGTATCATCCCATTGTTATTTAGGAGTGCAATTGATCAGTCTCATGTTGGCATATGTGCATCCTGAACGGATTGCGAATGAAACATGCGTCCTGCATTTCACTACTGGTCACTACTCATTTTTGCTTAAAAACTTGTAACTTAAGGCTATATCGAGGCAATCCGCGCAGGATGAACATGTACTAACAAGAGACTGATCAGTTGCAATCATAAAAAACAATGGGAAGGTACAAGTAAAACAACACCAAGTGAATTTAAGCTTCACCCTAATACACAAGTAGGTAGCTATCAGGACTTAGTAGCTAAGCAGATAACGCGATGGCGTTTGAAGTGAATGGTACTGCGTCCGAGTCATGGAGTGAACATTAACTCTGGGATGCAGGTACATCCGGCTGACGAGCCCCGAATAGGACGAAACGCGAGTCAAACTGGATTCCACTGCTAGCCACTATCCGTCTTTCCTTAAAAAGCTTATGTTAGAAATAGTTTACTTCCAAAGTTAAATTCAAATGATACGAACAGTAAACACAACAGTTAGTGTAATAATAAATATTGTTTAATAAGTCAATATATACATAAAAGATAATCAATCATCAAGCGTTCTAAGTAAAACAGTGTTTCAGCGGATCAGCGAAATAAGAGTGTAGCTTAAAATAATTACCTTTGATTATACAAATACTTTCTACGGTCGTCATCCCTTAAACTATGAGAGTAAAATCGCTTCATATCTTTATTTCTACGAACTAATTCTTTCTTCCTGTACTATATCCTTATTACAATCTTTCCTTTATATAATACTACCATTGAATTAACTACTTCTATGAATCCGATGTTTATCTTATTGTGCTAATCAGGTGTAGCAACTTGGACCGATGTATATATGTGCCTGGTCCTACATTGTAGCTGACTGACTGAATAACTGATTACAGGCGTGGATATACAAATCAGAAGCATAGATTGAATTACTATAAGTTATAATTACAACTCATCTAACAAGACAGTATTCGAAGACTTCACTAATTCAAGTGTGTAAATACTTGAAAATTGCTTCCATATAATTGATAATTTTAGCCACTATTTATTGGTGAATATTGTTTAATCAATATGTTAACTGAACAAATTAATTGACCAATCAAATATCATCTAACTTCTGTGTTAGTATTTATGTGAAATAGCACTATCTGTTTTATGTCAAAACTTACATAGTTACAACAAAAAAAAAAAGAAACAAGTAAGTTCATTTTATTTTGTTCCCGGTTTAAATGAGATTTACAAAAAAAATTAATTATTGAGTAATAATAATATACATGAAAGTACATGAATATAATTTACCCAATAATAGTTGTACGTAATTATATTATATAACTTACTTACTTACTTACGCTTGTTACTCCTCGTGAAGGATCATAGACCGCTCACTAGCATTCTCCATCCAACCCTGTCCTGGGCAATCCCTTCCAGATCCTTCCAGTTCTTATTCATCCTTTTCATATCTGATTCTATTTCCCGACGTAATGTGTTCTTTGGCCTTCCTCTTTTTCGCTTCCCTTCAAGATTCCAAGTTAGGGCTTGCCTTGTGATGCAGTTTGATGATTTGCGTAATGTATGTCCTATCCATTTCCATTGTCTTTTCCTAATGTCCTCTTCAGCTGGAACCTGGTTTTTTTCTCTCCCACAAAAGGCTGTTGGTGATGGTATCTCACCAATGGATGTTGAGTATCTTGCGTAGACAACTATTTATAAATACTCGTACCTTCTTGGTGATGGTGGTTGCTGTAGTTCTCCAAGTTTCAGCTCCGCACAGTAGAACTGCCCCGACGTTCGTATTGAATATTCTCACTTTGATATTAGATGACAGTTGTTTTGAGTTACATATGTACTTCAATCGAAGGAATGCGGCCCTTGCTTTGGCAATCCTCGCCTTTACGTCTGCATCTGAACCTCCTTGTTCATCAATGATGCTTCCTAGGTATGTGCAGGATTCTACATCTTCCAGAGTTTCGCCATCAAGAGTGATTGGATTGCTGTTCTCCGCTTTGAATTTGAGGACCTTGGTTTTCCCTTTGTGTATGCTGAGGCCTACTGATGCAGAGACTGCTGCTACACTGGCTGTCTTTACCTGCATTTGTTCGTGTGTATGAGATAGGAAGGCTAGGTGATCTGAGCTGTCCATTGTATTCCGTGTTTTCCCTCAGATGTCGAGGTCTTCATAGTCCAGTCGACTACCAAAAGAAAGAGGAAGGGAGAGAGTAGACAGCCTTGTTTGACTCCGGTCCTTACTTGGTATTGCATCTGTCAGCTGTCCTCCATGCACTAATTTGCACTGTAGTCCGTCGTTTGAGTTCGGGATAATGTTGACAATCTTCTCAGGAACTCCGTAGTGTCGAAGAAGTTTCCATAATGTCTTCCTATCTACACTGTCAAATGCCTTTTCATAATCAATGAAGTTGATGTATAGTGACAAGTTCCACTCAACTGATTGTTCGACGATGATCCGTAGTGTTGCAATTTGGTTAATAATATTTAATCAATATGTTAACTGAACAAATTAATTGACCAATCAAATATCATCTAACTTCTGTGTTAATATTTATGTGAAATAGCACTATCTGTTTTATGTCAAAACTTACATAGTTACAACAACAAAAAAAAAAGAAACAAGTAAGTTCATTTTATTTTGTTCCCGGTTTAAATGAGATTTACAAAAAAAATTAATTATTGAGTAATAATAATATACATGAAAGTACATGAATATAATTTACCCAATAATAGTTCTATATAATTATTATTATATAACTTATTGAGATAATCATTCAAACGCAATTAATTGTTTATTATTGAATCAAATAATTGATAATGATTGATATATAAACGAAAAAATCGAATTTCAATTTATATATAATACATGATATCTTACTATAATAGTTCAAATTGTTTATTATTACACCATTTAACTCTGTCCTCTACTTTCATATCCAATTGTTTTCAATCACTGTACATTCTTTAAATGAATATTTTCAATTCTCGATGTTATTTTAGTCTTTCTGTTTTTCATTTCTTTCAAAAAGTTTAAGTTAACGATGATCTCGTAATGTAGTTTGATGATTTCTTCCATGTATGTCTTCGTTATTTCCATCATCTTTAATAAACATGATATAACATCTTACTATGGGCGGCCTGGTTGAGCATCTGAGCTACCTGTTCCTGCCATCTAGATATTTCAACAAGTTATCTATTTTTATTTGTTTTAATATATCAATATGTTTATTAATCGCATAACCTATTCTGCTGCGTTTCTGAAAAGTGTACAACCTTTCGTTGTCAAAGTTACAAAAAAATCAGTAGGAGTCAATGTGGTTGCTGGTAATATATAACGAAAAGAATGCACATTATTCAGATGTTGATTTACTGAACTGCTAACATCTAACTGGCGATCACTCAATATTTATCGCCAGGACCGACCAAGAAGAAAGAAACGGAAACTTGTTGAAATACTTTACGCTGAGAATTCTATATTGTACCAAAAATATAATATTGAATAAAGCTGATGATCATAAAAACATCAATTCAAAAAATTTATGGTCTATTGGTAGGTGAAAATTATTTGGTTGAGATTAATGAGATTATTGTAATTAGTGATTGGAGATATTGAATGATAAGGCTCATAATTGATCATAAAGGATCTAATAAATTCACTCTATTCCTTCTCTTAGGACTTAAGTTTTAAAATGATCTTGTACTTTTCATTCAATGAACTTATATCTTTTCCAACCATATTGTTTATGCCTAGAATTTTCTACTATCATTACTAATTTTATTACCATGGTATTTGTCTTAATAGTTCCATCTTGTTGTGCCGATATGATAATGATAACATTGACTAATGTATTTATATGTCAAGTTTTCTGTTGATATTGATACAAAATTACTTTTGTTTTAAAAATGTAATTTCTATGTTATTTTTAGTTTTATAATATGAAATGTTAAATTTAGTATCCAATGAAAATATATTGAAATTCCTTACAATTGATACAAACATCCACATTCATTCAAATTGATTCTAGTTGGTTAAACGCCTGGAGCGAGACTGATAGGTCCTGCGTTCGAATCTTGCAGGGTTCGGGATCGTGGAGTCCCATACTAGGACGAAACGGCCATCCAGTGCTTCCAGGTTTTCCATGGTTGTCTAACTTCAATTGACTCATGATTTCAATCAGTGAAATTTCTAAAAATCTCCACCAAACCCCTTCTTATAATTTTATTTAATCAATTATTTATTATCATCATTGACTTTCCTTTATTTTATTTTTCTTTTAAAGTATTATGAATAATAGTTGGAAGAGACCAGATTTACCAAGTAAATGTACATTTTCTTTAAAACAATCAATCATTGAAAGTCCTCATCATCATCACCATCTTCATCACGATCATCATCATAATTCAATGTATGTTTTTCTAAAAATCAATTGATATTCTAAAGACAATTCAATTAATTAATTTAGTTTCAAAAGAAATAAAATTTTAAATCATTCATTAGAATTAATTGGTAATACACCTTTAATTCAACTGAATCAAATAGTAAAGAATGAAGGTATAGAATGTGAACTATGTAAGTGATAGAATATAGAAATTTTGTAAAGAAAAAATATCTTACTATTTTATAGTAGGAAAATGTGAATTTCTTAATATTGGTGGTAGTATTAAAGATAGAATTGCAAAACGTATGATTGAAGAAGCTGAATTAGAAGGTAAATTAAAACCTGGGGATACAATTATTGAACCAACTTCGGGAAATACTGGTATGTCTTTCTTTTTTCTTTTTTTTTAAAGTTTGTTTATTCTAATACAGAAATGTATATATGAAATCATACACTAAGAATGCCGGTTCAATGGTCTCTAGTAGGTTAAGTGTTCGCGCGCGAGATTGAAGGCCGTGTGTTCGAATCCCATGAGCGAGATCGTGGTTGCGCACTGCTGAGGAGTCCCACAATAGGACGAAACGGCCGTCCAGTGCTTCTAGGTTTTCAATGGTGGTCTAACATCAATCAGTTCATGATCTCAATCAGAAACTTAGAATTTTATTAAATAATGTTTATATTTATTATTATTATTTTTAAATAAACACAAAACGAAAGTTTTAAAGATTCATACTAATAAGAGCTCGAAGAAAACTGTGATCATTAAAAAGCGTATGTTAGTAGAGATGAGTATTGAACGAGGGAATAAAATTTTTAAACTTGAAATTTAGTTGGTTTACTATCGATTCCTTTGCTTCTATGATCAATTGGAAATGCAGTTCTTTAAGTGTTGAATAAAGAGTTCACTTTCAATCGATACTGTAACTAAATAATATATTTGTAATATCCCAATGAGTAGAAAAAATGGATTTTCTGATGTTTCGTAACTTAGTGTAAGCCACTTCTTCAGAGAATAAATAACCCTTAAAGGTTTTCTGTGTGAATTGAAATTTAATCCTTTCTCTATCAGATTGGTTTCATGATTGGTTAAGTTTCTATCTGAGAGATTATGAACAATTCTTATTAGATTTTATTGCTGAAGTTTTCATATCTTTTTTTCTTTCTTCGATCCTTTCAAATTTTTTGATTTGACGGCGTTTTGATGAATCTAAATAATGGCGTTCTCTTCCCATAAACAGGTTAGAAATTGTAGTTTGTAATTCTGCATGATCATCTAGGTCTTTGAATCGTTCACGATATTTTTCAAGTAAATATGTGCATTTGTGAATGCGTTCTCGTAAAAATATTCGAGATGAGCGTTGTAAACTTCGTTTATTAAATATCCTGTTATTGTACCAATTCCATTTACACTTGGATAATTTGATCCGGTTATTAATGGGTTTGTTACTTATTCTCTGAAGAAGTGGCTTACACTAAGTCACGAAACGTCAGAGAATCTAACTTTTCTACTCATTGGGATATTACAAATATATTATTTATTTATAACTATCTACTCAATGTTCAATTTATTCGAAATTATCAAGTCAAACCGTGATAATAATACCTAAAAAATACTGTAATGGTCCGGATCAAGTAACAATTGATCAGTCCACAATTTGGGGCCCAATGATAAAGCTTGCATTAAGATTTATGAGAGGGAGATAGAAGAGTGATTAAATATATGTTTTTTTAGGATTTCAAGGAAACTCTTCCTTTATTTCTACTGTTTTAAAAGTTTTTAAATACTTAAGTTTAACTTTGTGTGATTATTGTTCAGTGACATGAAAAATTCCGTAATTGTTTGCGCTCACCTGAGAAAAGTGCAGTATTAGCAGAACACTTGGAGACCAGGCGAAAATACAGTTCAGATGGGAGAACGTACCGAGTGATGTAAATGGACGATTGAAGGCTGTGTATATGCATTGTATAGATACTTTGTAACTTTTTATAACAAACATACAATACACCTGCCTATTGTCTTGTTTTACAGTGGTACCTGCTTCCATAGTCAAACTTATCATTACAAATACAATTAACTATCATCCCACAGAAAATATTCATAATCATATCTACCCTCCACAATTATTATCAACATCAAATATTAGAGTAGTTATAGTGAATATACATATTTGATTACTTATTACTAATTTTAAATAGGTATTGGATTGGCGCTTACTGCTTCTCTTAAAGGTTACCGATGTATAATTGTAATGTCAGAGAAAATGAGTAGTGAAAAGGTAAACTATTGTAGTTTTCTTCTGGTGATTTTGCACTTTTGTTTAATTACTGTGTTGTCATAATCAAGAATTACTGGCCTCATGAAGTAAAATTACATTTTGAGTATAAACCAACTAGTTCACATTTGTAACCCAATTGCACACCTATTGATATATGTAAGTTAATTGGGTGACGAATTAGTGTTAGTACGTATTAGAAGAAAATCTTTCCAAAATTTCTATACTAAACCGTTTAATGAAAAATATCAAAAGAATTTGAATAGTCATACGACTTGTAGGATTAATACAGTCTAGTCTGAATTAACTGATGTTATTTGTGTGAAGATCATGTCATTAAATGAATGAATTGAAGTTAATTTTATAAAACACTGAATTCTATCTCAGTAGCTTAAATATTTCGTGATCAAAAAGTTTCTCAAAAGTTATAGGTTTATTTTTGTGTATAACATGAGTACGTATTATTATAGAGTCCTGAAAACAGTTTGGCATTAGTGTAAGTGACTAGACATCCAGTGGATTATGTTTAAATGTTAGATATTTGAAAGTGATTGCTAGGTATACCTTGTAAATAAGTTTCTTTCTTGTTGATTTTTTCTATGTAAACACAAAGTATGTAATGTTAAGCCGCTTAGACAAGATGCCAAATTTCGACTTGACCGATAGGATTTGATTACTTCTAGGATATAGAGCAAACATAAGATTGGTCACCACTTAATGATCAATCAGTGAGGCATCTTTGAAGTACTCTATGGTCGTCAATATTTCCCTATTTCAGGATAGTTAGTGAAGTATATTACCTTCAGATTTCTATATATTCACTCTTATTATTTAGATCTGATGAAGCCGAATTATTTCACGTTTAAAAATGTCTATTATTCTCATAAGTTGTCTGATAGTTATACAACACATTAACTGAAGGTGATTGTATGCTCATTTAGCAAACTATTTCGTTCTTTATTATGATCAAATGAATCAGTATTGAAATATACCGTTTTTACTGTTCTATTCTTATAAAGGAATCGTACTTAAGATGCCTTGGAGCTGAAATTGTTCGTACACCGGCTTCTGCAAATTTTGATCATCCTGATTCATTGTTTCGAGTGTCAGAAAAAATAAAAAATGAAATTGGTCCATCTGCACATATCATGAATCAATATACAAATCCATATAATCCAATAGCTCATTTTGATGAAACAGCTGAAGAAATTCTTCGTGATTGTACAGAAGAAAATGGACAAATCAAATTGGATATGCTAGTAGTTGGTGTTGGAACTGGTGGTACAATAACTGGAATATCAAGGAAAATAAAAATGAAAGTGCCTAATTGTTTAGTAAGTTTATTTTGAACATCAACCTGTTCTTAATCTCACACATAAAATTCACTTCGGTTTACCGATTTAGAGATTTTACAAATCAATGAAACTATAAAATGATGATACTGTCGATTATATGATATGAGTCTTAATCATTAAGAAGGTATTCATTCCTAGATTCAATATGCCCTTTCATAAAGGGCACTAAGCAGGATGGAATCTAGATCTATAACTTAGTACAGACTGCCTACATGTAAGTAAGATAAAAAACGAGACGAAGAATGATATAACGTTTTTTAAAATTGTGGCTACAGCACAACTCAGAGTTTGATCATTAGTTAGAATTAGAGAAATAATTTACCACTATCACAGTAATTCTCTTTTCATATTAGACAGTAGTTAATCAAGTGTCTTACAATAGATGTAGTCATATATTGCATATGTACACTTAAAAATACACCAACAACCTTTTAATAGTTCAGTTCAAACAAGATTTACTAGAACATACCTCTGAGTGATTATTTTATTCGCTCATGAGTTAAAATCTGCTAACTTCAGTAGAAATACTCACTTATACAAATCATCACACCGTAAGTTTCTGACGTATCTATAATTTTCAGTTGGATTGGTAGGGCTAAGAATAGTGCCAATACAATGCTCGTTAGATATATAGTAAGAAGTTGAAAGTTTCTTAGTTAGTCAGTTGATCGAGATTAATTCAGCTTGAAGATTATAAACCGAGATTAATGAGGAAATCGTTTAAAGTTTTTAGCATAAGACATGTATTTCATCTTAATTTCATTTTCTAAAACAGTATCCATCCATAATTGTACTAAGAATTAAGTAAAAAGTCTTCAAATCTAATTTCATGTTGACTAGTAATTCCACACCAGTGATTTTGGTCTCTTTAACAGTTCAAGTTATTCACTGGGTTCACTTGTTTTTATTGAACTGTTGAGCTTTCCCATGATGCCTTTTTTTGTAAAAGCCTAACTTTACCACATATTATAGATTGTTGGAGTGGATCCAATTGGTTCAATTCTAGCCAATCCAGAATGTCAAGAAACAACTCCATACGACGTTGAAGGTATTGGATATGATTTTTTCCCTACTGTCTTGGATACAAATGGAATTGATAAATGGTGTAAAACAGGTGATCATGAATCTTTTGAAATGGCTAGGAGACTTATACATGAAGAAGGTTTACCATGTGGTATGTTAGACGTTTGTATTTGATCATTTATGTATTTATTATGTTTTTTTTCGGTTTTGATGTATTTGAAACACTTTTCTACTCTTCTTTCTTCGCGATAATTCTCTAACTAATACATTTTCAATTTACATCAACGACTGACAATTAGAATAAACCAGAACGCAACGTATGTATCAAGACAACAGTCAGAATAAATGACATGAAATGAAAATTAATTTTTTCATGCAAGACATTCTAGATTGCACGAGGTTAACTGATAGAATAATGTCACTATCTATTGAAATTATCCGTGAGTCCTAAAATGAACAAATCAGCTTGCCTGAAACTGATTTGTCAGAAGTTAGTTTCTAAGCCAACTCTAAATCTAAAATATGGGTAATAAGATAGTCTGAAAATAAATAGGAGAGTCTTTCGTCTTGGAAGTATGTAAAAGCTATGTCTTTTGATTAGGTCAATAGGCGTAAGAGATGATAACCTGGGAGTCACTGGAATGAATCACACTGTAACACATCGTTTTTATAATCGGTTACCACTTATTCACTTAATAACATTTAAAACTCAGACCTTTTTGTTTCGAAAATCTGATTAACAAGTATACGTAGTTGTTTTTCGTATTTAATGTCTTAATTGAATAATTCTAGTGGTCTGTTACAACAAAAATATATTTTGCATATCACTACTCAGGATTTCAATTTCGACAGAGTTCATTTATCCAAGTTGATAGACCGTATACCGTACTTCTAGATTCGACGAAATCAAAGATTTTCTTTTATTGTTTTCGTACTAACACTCTCGTTAGTAAACAAAAAGTTAGTGAAATTTCAGGTTTATCATTTCAGCATCCCTATTTAAATTTTGATAAAGTTATGTTCTATGACCTGTGTAGTTTATCAATCAAGTTTTCATTATCCTTCTAGACAATATAATCAGTATAAACTTCAGACATAAGTGAACTATAAGAATTTCTTCACTACTGACAAACAGCTTGTTTTGTTAACATGAAACTGAATGATAATGTATTTGAATTTACAGTTTAGTGATGAAACTCATTTTCAAATAAATGATTAGATTGTGAAATAATAACTCGTTGAAGACAATAGTGGATGATAGAGCAATTCATGGATTGGTTGAAGTTAGATATTAACACTGTTGAATGTCAGCTTAGTGGTCTATAGCTTAAGAGTTCGTGCCGGATTCAAATCTTGCGGGGTGGGACCGCGGATGCGCACTAAGATAAAACAGCCGGTCAGGTTTTCCACGGTGCTTTAGCTTTAATTGACTCATTAATTCTACTATTAAATCATTATAATATTTACAAAACCTCTCTCTGATTAAAATAATTAGATATAAATATTTATGACATGATTACAAAATTATAAACATCTACATTCATATATATGAAGTTTGGTTATTTATATCTCATGGTTATTTAATATAAACACTTTGATTTATTCTAATTCATAGAAACAACATTTAAGTTCACATTATGTGACAAATAACAAACCAAATATATGTTTTACAGCTAATTATTATTATTCTAAGACCGGAAAGGGTAATGTTTTTATGTTGTTTGAATAAATAAGTCGGAAGTCGTGTTGATTAGTTGTGATAAACTAATCAAATAAATTATACAAATAACAACTAGTCATCACGGTTAATTAATATATAAATGATGATTATACTAATTTGACGAATATTAGTTGGTGGAGTTTTGTTCTCTGAGCTGGATGGTTTGGTCGTGGAGCTTTCAGATAGAAGTGAAGTGTTCGAATTTCTACATATGTGTTTCACAGCTTGTTCTGTGCACATCGATGTTGATTGGTTTTTATTGACCTTAAGCTGTGAAACACATATGTAGAAATTCGAACACTTCACTTCTATCTGAAGTTTGTGCTGATGATGTCGTTCAGAAGAACGATGAAAGCTCCACGACCAAACCATCCAGCTCAAAGAACAAAACTCCACCAAAATCATCCACCTGAGCTACAAATCTTCTCCACCATCACGAATATTAGTCGAAAACTATGACTATTATTATTGTTATTATTAAAAGTTGTTGACATAGACTATGGTAACTAAATACTTCAGGATAGTTGATTTTTACATGCATAAGATTGCTTTCTAAGTACTGTCGCTGGCAAAATTACTTTGCAAAGATATTCAACCCATTGAACATCTTGTCAATAACTGTTTTATGAAAAAAAGAAAGCTAAGATTTAACCAATTAAGCCTTTTCAGCTTTTAATTCTGGGAGATCCACAATTTTTTTTTCACTTCCACAGTTGTATTTCAATGTCATACATGAATAGTTCAACCACCAATCACAACTATCTACATTATAATTATATGTTCGGAATATTTATTTGATAAGTCTAAATAATGTTAATGTAATCACTAAATACAATTCTGATTAACATTTTTTATCTGATCCAATTCTGTCATGGAAAACGTTCTTAAGCCAAACTATTTAGTTAACTAATTCATAAGGCTCTTACAAGCAAGTTAAATAAACCTGAGCGAAGATAGCCAGTGTAGCAGTAGCATCTTCAGCATTGGACCTCAATTTACACAGTGGAAAAAGCAAAATTCTGAAATACAACACAACGAGCATCGACCCAATTACACTAGATGGAGAAACTCTGGAAGATGTGGAAACTTTCACGTACCTGAGTGGTCAGCAACATCGATGAATATGGAGAATCCTATGCAGATGTGAGGGCAAGGATTGGCAAAGCAAGAATAGCATTCCTACATTTGAAGAACATATGGAACTGAAAACAACTGTTTCCAAGTGAACATCTAAATCAGGATCTTCAATACGTACGTTAAGACAGTTATTTCTACTGTACGGAGCTGAAACTTGGAGAACAACCATAACCATCATCAGAAAAGTACAAGTATTTCTAAACAAATTTCTACGTAAGATAATGAATATCCGTTGTCCGGATACTATCAACAACAGCCTACTATGGGAAGGAACGAACCAACTTCCATCAGAATGTGAAATTAGGCGGCTGAGAGGTTGATATGACATAGATTACTGAAATCATCAAACTGCATCACGATGTAATACATAACTTGGATTCCTGAAGGTAAAAGGAAAAGCGAAAGACCACAAAATACATTATATAGAGCATTGAAGGCAGATATTAAAAGAATAAATAGCACTTGGAAAAGACTGGAAAGGAGAGCGGAGGATAGAGTTAGCTGGAGAATCTTTGTTGGAGATCTATTCACATTCACGAGGGATAACACGCGTTAGTAAATAAGTGAGTGAAAGCTTATTGAATCCAAAGAAATTAATGGATGGTATGAAGGTCAGTAGATGTAAAAGCTGAATAAATATTTCAACTAACTTTAATGAGTTGGCTGGCTATTTGGTTTGTACAGCAGACATTATACAGGAAACTTCCCTTGGTTGTTTTACAAATTTTATCAAACTGTTTGATAACCATAGTTAATAACTCAGTTAGATGTTCATATTCACTGCTTCCACTTTTTTCCTTGTTCACATTTGAATTTTCACTTTTTGTCGTTGGATGGTTCAGGTAGCTTTTAAGTGTGCCGATCCATATTTACTCCACTGATATATACCAACTTAACTTCTAGAAAAGAAGCAACAATAAGTTGTAGATTCATTACATTCTAGAAATATTGCACTGTTTAAACTAGAATGAATCGAAATTCACTCTGTCGCGCAACCCAGTGGCTGTTTGAACTAATTAGTTAACAGATGACGCATTTAGTGTTTGAGGCGAAAACTACTGAAGTTGAGTCCCAATGTGACTATCAACATTGGGGTACAGGTACATCCAGCTGACGAGTTCCAAACAAGACAAAATCTAGTAACATACTTGCTATTCATTATATATTTGTAAAATATCTGAAATCTTTGTTCGATACATTTTTTTAGTATAATTTGACCAAATGTAGTCGCCGTTTCCTACTAGTTGGCATTGTTTAGCCAGAAATATCTACAATATTCAGATAACTGACTTATTCTCTGTGTAGTTCAAAGCTTCATCTCTCACCTTTACAGTTTGAGACGTTACCACTGATCTATCTGAATGAACAAATGGTTTAAGTCGACGGTTTCCTAGCAACTACTTCTAACTACCTAGCACTAAAATGTATAGTTCAAGTTAATGTCTAGTTATCTGTTAACCATATTGCAACTTGATCAGTAGAATTCAACCAGTACTAGATACTAGATAAACATGATATCGGTTATTACTTAGTCAAAAACCACGATGTACTTATTATTACGAAATGTTTTATCGAATTCCTTTCTGTCATAAATATTTTTCACAAAGGTGGCAGTTCTGGTGCTGCTGTAGCTGGTGCTATCAGAACTATCAGAGAATTGGGTTTAGGAAAAAACAGTCGAATCGTGGTTATTCTACCCGATAACGTACGCAATTACATGTAAGATAAGCTTTAAAGCTTATTTCATTTCATTTGTTCTCTTCTATTCATTTTCATTCTTTACTGAATGTTTATTTTCCCCTTATGATATATAAGCATAATGTGGCTAAAAGGTTTGAATTTCATTTAAAAACAGCTCATGCTTTATATACTCTCCAGGTAAACATTTATGCAGGTTAAAATTTCATATGTTACATTTGGGCGTCAATAATATCTCTGGTTGGGATTATAATGTAAGTCCACTAACATAAGATATATGTCCACGGTAATTTGCAGGTATTTTTCAGTTGGACATCCTGTCTTCTGGTGGATTCTGAGACTGTCAATGTATTTCCTTTGTGCGTTCGAACTAAGAAAAACGATTATTTTAGAAAAAAAAGAAACGGTTCATTGTTGTTATTGTTTCAAAATTATTAACATTATACCGCCTTGGTGTAATAAGGATATGATACTTGAAATACATAATCTGTCTTTTATTTTTGTTGGTTTTATGAGCGGACGTGTAAATTAAAGACAATGAAGCTTCATGTTTATAATTTACTTAAGCCATACATTTGCATATATAGTTATATGGAAAATATATATCTATAGGAGGATAGAAAAGATCGTATTATTAATGAATTGGAGACTAAATATCAAATGAGGTTAACGTACTAATCAAAGGGTAAGGAAGAAAATAATTTATGGGTCAGATATGAAGAAAAATTACAAACATAAAGGTCATAATAATAAACTGAAATAATCAAGCAAACTTATATAAGGTAATAATAATTTAAAAAAACCCAACAATAATCAAACAAAAGTGAAGAAGAAAGGAAATAAAAACCCGAGACATACCCATTAGGGGAATTAGGGCCAAGGAAGGATGAGAGGTTGGACGAATCGTTTCTGCACGCAAAGTTCAGGCTTGAGTTCGTGAGTTGCCAATGCCTCAGCTGTGCATAAAATATTGAGTCGACACCCATTCGATCCACTTCCTTTGACTCTGTAGATTACTTTAAAAGAAGAATCCTTTAAAGCGATGTGTCCATAGTTGATTAAATGCTCCTGTATAGAACTAGTAATTGTTTTACATTCTCCTTTTAAAAGCCAGGTCGAATAGTGTTCTGAGTTGCGTTTGGAAAGTGATCGCTTTGTGCGGCTAATTTAACATGCCCAAGATGAGCATGTAAATTTACGGATACACACTGACGTGGCCCAAAGTGGAAGTTTATCATTAACACATCCATGAATGGCCGGCTTGAGAAAACAATTCGGAGCTTAGCTGCCTAGAACGTTTTATTCAATGATTTTGAAATCCGTTTAAGATTTCCGCAGCCATGTCTCCCTTAAATTCCATATTCATAAACAAGGTTTTCTTTTCTACTGTCGATGTTTCTTCATGATGAAGTCTAGGTGTTAAGTTGCTATCGAGGAATCTAGGTGAATAACCATTTCTAATGAGAGTCTGTCGAAATTGAAATACCCGCTTACTTACTTATGCTTGTTACTCCCAATGGAGTATAGGCCGCCGACCAGCATTCTCCAACCCATTCTGTCCCACAATTCCTTCCTTTCCAGTTCTATCCAATTTTTGTTCATTCTTCTCATGTCCGTCTCCATTTTCTGGCGTAATGTGTTCTTTGGTCCTCCTCTTTTCCTTTGGCCTTGAGGATTCCATGTGAGGGCTTGCCTCGTGACGCAGCTGGGTGCTTTCCTCAATGTGTCCTATCCACTTCCGGCGCTTCTTCCTGATTTCTTCCTCCGCTGAGATCTTGTTTGTTTTCTCACATAGTAGGTTGTTGCTAATAGTGTCCGGCCAACGGATCCGAAGTATTTTGCGTAGACAACTGTTAATCAACACCTGTATCTTCTGGATGATGGCTTTCGTAGTTCTCCAGGTTTCTGCCCCACACAGTAGAACTGTCTTGACATTTGTATTGAAAATCTTGACCCTGGTGTTGGTTGACAACTGTTTTGAGTTCCAGATGTTCTTCAGTTGTAAATATGTTACTCTTGCTTTGCCGATTCGCTCCTTCACATTTGCATCAGATTCACCGTGTTCATCAATGATTCTGCCCAGATATGGTCGTTCTCGTTTACGGTAATTTCCAGACAGTTTCTTTGTTGTATCACACAGTTGTCTCATGTTTCCTTCTCTTGCAGCCTTTTCCGCCGCCATTGCTAAATCCTCCACATATTTACGTTTTTCGGTTCTGATGCTCCTCTTCACTAGCTTGTTTACTTCTGTGTATTCAGCTTGTGCCTTGGCTTTTTCTGCTCTTGTTCGGCTGGTATTGATTACTGCCTTCTTGTTCCTGCCTTCTTGAATCTTATCCAGTGTATCAACAGTGATCCATTTCTTGTGATGGTGCTTCTTGTGACCCAGGACCTCATGACATGTTGAAGTGATTGCCTCTTTTATCCCTTTCCAGTTTCTCTCCATAGTAGTTCCCTCTCCATTGAGTAGATCATGAAAGGCCTGGAACATTTTGCTAAGGACTATCTTAAATTTGTTGAGTTTGTCAGTATCCCGAAGAAAAGCTGTATTAAACTTTTATGATGTTGTCCGCCTCGTTGTCCAGTGCTTCTTGAGTTTCGATTTCAGCTTGACGGCCAGCAAGTGATGATCTGATGCTATATCAGCTCCTCTCCTGGTTCTCACATCCTCCATCGTCCTCCTGAACTTTTTATTGATGCAGATATGGTCGATTTGGTTTTGCGTAGTGTGAACCGGTGAAGTTCATGTGGTTTTGTGAATGTGCCTCCTATGACCAGTTTGTTGAACGCACATTGGTTTGCAAATCTCTCACCATTTTTGTTCCTTTCTCCCAGTCCGTGTCGTCCCATGATGTCTTGATATCCGGTGTTGTCCATTCAAACCTTGGCATTTAGGTGGGTCTCCCACCAGGGTGGTCAGGTCCTTTATTGGGCACTTCTCGATGATTGATTGCAGCCTATTGTAGAATCGATCTTTAAAGTCTTCATTGTAGTCGTTGGTAGGCGCATAGCATTGGATGATATTCATTGAAATGCCCTCTTTCTTTGTTTTGAAGGAGGCTTTGATGATCCTTGGTCCATGAGATCCCATCCTATAAGTGCATTTTGTGCTTGTTTTGATAGCATCAATGTAACGCCTTGTGCATATGGGGCATTTTCTTCTTCATGGTCGGCGTATAACAGAAGCTCTTCTGAAGTTAGTCGTTGTTGTCTAACTTGCATTCAATGTGTTTCACTGATACCAAGCAACTCCAGGTTGTATCTCCTCATTTCTGCAGCAATTTGGAAGGCTCTCCCGGTCCCCCACACTGTACGAGCATCCCATGTACCTAAATAAATGGTCGCTCTGGTTGTCAGAAGGGACATCGGCCTCGTAACTTCCGAAGGAACTCGGCTTCCATCATGAGGCGTCATAACTCTTCTAAATGAAGACCTTCTGACTCCCAGAGCAGAGTTTAAAAGGTTTGAACAATTTTTTCTGGTTAGCGTTTTCTAGCAAGTCAGTTTTATACGGGATGGGGTCGCTAACCTCATGCCCAACCTTTCTCCTTTTTCTGGGCTTCGGACCGGCAGTAGCCCCCGGAGGGTCCCCAGGCTGAACTTGAAATAGTTTCTCACCAATCGTGTTAGTGGAACATATTCTCTTGATCGTTGAGGATAAAAAGTGAATCAAGTTCCTCTTTCTGCTCAATGAGATCCAGCCATGGAAATTTGTGTATCACCCATTCCACTAAGTTTCTTATTTGTTTACTATCTTAAAAAAATCCTGTTTTTATTCTAATTTATTTTTTTTTGTATAGGTCTAAATTCTTATCAAATGATTGGATGTTTAGTCGAGGATACATGAACTTTCCTCTTGGTGATGCATTTCGAAATAAGTAAGCATATAGTTATGAGGATAAGTGTAGCCAAATGATAAATTATATATTGAGTGTATCATAAAAATTCTTCAAGAATGTAAAATACTTTAACATGTATAAAGAAGTTAGATGTAGTTTTATTTACCTACATCTGAAATTTCATTCTACTACGGCAGTCAACTTAGTATTTTTTGTACACGGACTTAGAGAGTATCGAATACATTTGGTTAATTTTGGGCTTATTCACCAATCGAAATACGATTTATCCAATCTTAGTACTGTGCTAAACCATTGACATTCGACCGGTATGAGTAGCCTAGCGTCCTTATTGGTCCTTTGCTCACCTAGCCCGTCCAGTTGAGTACAGAACACCAATAACAGCTTCCATCATGAGAATTATTTATTTCAAACATACTTGGTTTATATACCAGTCAAACAGACCATGTTATATCACAAAATGGAAAATAACAATTACACACGATCAAGCCAAAAAGTGACTGTGAATGTGGGAGACTGTAATCAATAAACTGAACATAACTTAAAAACAGTAAACCGTATAATAATAATCTATAGGTCAAAATGAAGCTTATAGTAAGTGGGATATAGTTAAACACAATCTAGTTACTGAATATATATATATATATATATATATATATATATATATATATATATATATTATCAGTCCATTTATAGTTATCGGAAGTTACTCGTAATTTAATCTTCACTAGGATATAATAGAACCCCTTTTCTTGTTCAGCTTAATGAGCTTGTATCACATTTTCAGTAAGTAATGTTTGGCAAAGTTCTCAAAATTAAAACACTACTTGTATGAAATCTACCAGTTTGTTAGCGGAATATGGACTGGATTAAAGAACGTCCCGTGCACGATTGTGTTTTTGCACGCTGATCGGCTATTTCTTATCCAATCAACGTTAGCGGATGCTTGGAGAAGACTGTAGAATCTTATGTTTAAACTATGGATATACTTACATTATTCTTATTGTGCTTCTTACTTCCATCTACCCTTGTTATTTGGAATATAATTTCGTTCCTGTTCAACCGTGTCCTGATTTAGGGACTTGTTGAGTGAAGTAGTGTCCAAGACTACTAAGTAATAGGAATAGCTGGGTCGTAATAGGAGAAATTATAACACTGTTTATATCTTGTTTTGTATTCACAAGGGTTTTTTTCTTTAAAATATTCTTGATTTGATTAATTTGACTGTTTACATTGTATCCTGTTATTATATATCTTTCTGTCAAGTTGGATTAATGATACATTAGATGAATTAATTGCTGGTCTTCCAAAAACAGTTAGAATTACTAGTGAATATACAGTAAAAGATGCTTCGAACTTAATTAAAACGGAGAATGTAAGGGGATTGTTGGTGGTAGAAAATAATGGAACAAAGTAAGCACTTTACTTTTAGTTCTGTATTTCAAAACAATTATCTTTAAAATGATTCATTCATCCTGTTCATTTCTTCATTTAAAACAAGCTATAAGTATGAGAACAAATCTATTTTTATTACTTATCAGTTTGTACCTATACAATGATTGAGTACTGACTTATGAAGTCTAGATTGCTAGCATTCAGAATATTAAGCGGGATGAGTGAAAGAATAGGAACAAAGGAGTACTATATCTACTATATCTTTAATCTACAGATTAGTTATTTCCATAACCACTTTTAACACAGTATTTAACTTTCCTTCATGAGATGTAAAGGATTGATCGTATGTAGCTGCAAGAGTGGTCGACTAATAGTGAAGTTAAGGGTAAGGATCTGTATGAAAATTAGAAAGCCATCAATGTTTAGTTAACCTTTATCAAATAAGGTGGTTAAAACGTATATTTCTCATGTCCAACCTCTGCCTACTATTAATGTTCGATGGTAGTTAAGATTAGTATATGCTGTGGAAAAGCTGTGGCGGCCAGATCAAAACATGGTGTGGTTCAATGAAGTCATCAATCACTTGTCTAAACCATACTTTTATGTTCTGTCCACCTGGTTACGGTTCGTGAAATATTCATCATTTATGTTTGGAAACGTCGAATAACGTAATGTATAGTCAGTCCTAGTGAAGTGAACAAGAACACAAGTGGGGGCAATCGAATATATTTAAGCACAAAATTGCAGAATCCCTAAGTAAAATCTGAGAACAATACAGTAAATACTTCATTTACAAAATATTAACCAATCGTCTCAGACTTCACTGTTCCTTCGTTTCCACACAAATCACTCTCTGTTCATGTTATTTTCTCTTCGATCTTCTTAACCTCCTACCAGCAGGGATTTCACCTTCGATTAGTGATACATACTACTTATATCTTTCGGTATCAGTAACACACACCACATCATTATCATATTATTTAAAGATAAAATTATTAAGAAAATCAACCGAAATAATATTTTTTTATTGAATTTCATGTCTTCAAAATTGTAACATGCATAGTAAAACACTCATTCTATTTCGTTTACTGTCAATGACTAGATTATACTCTAGTGGTTATCACTTTGCGTTGCCGACATTTTTGAACCATCTTATATTAATGGAATAGAATAACATCAATATTATTTACTCTAAAGCTTATAGAGAGAAATTCCAGTTTCTGAGGGAAATTAAAGATTACTGACACTAACAATGCTTTAATTTTAAGAGTATTGAAAATATGAAGTTTTCATGAAAACTTTACTATCGATTACTTCCAACCTTCAATCCTTGAAATAAATTGATTTTAGTCTTCAAATTGTTGAACTTGAAGTTATAATCACTTTTGTTTAGGAAATAAAAATTCATAATCCATATGAAAGTTTAATCAGTTTACTTGTTTTAATAATATATTATCCGTCTATAAAAAACTGATTATATGACGGTAACTTATCTGCTTTAGTAAACACCATTTAAGTTTAGTTAACTGGGCTATTTTCAGTTGTAGAGCTGTGGAGATTATTGAATTTCATTGAAATCATGAACTGATCAAAGTTGGGTCACAGTCGAGAACCTGGAAGGACTGTATGGCTGTTTTGTCCTAGTACGAGCCTCTTTAGCCTTGAGAAGTAGTGACTAGTAGAGTTAATCTGTGTCGGTTGTTAGGCAGTCACACATCGAAGACAATGCAGGGTGATCACGCAATGTCGTTAGCTGAGATATTGCTTTCACTCAGTTTGACTTTCGCACCACAAAAATAGACTGTTCATGTTTAACTTATTGTTAACGATGTTATAAACACGTAGATTGTAACTTGAATGTCATGTACTTGAGAAATAATAGCTGATTCTCTGTTTTTTGTCCACAGACTTTGCGTTCTTGGTGTATTTGATTCAAATGTTCTAAGACTATTATTCAGTGGATCTGTTAAACCGACTGATCTTGTTGTCAAAGCGATGAATAAAAATTATCGACAAGTAAGTTTCTAAAGTACATGTTATGTCATCAAGCTTTGAGTCTATATTATCTTAATCAGTATCACATGTGTTTCCGTACATGCTTTCTCTGACGAATTTACGTGAAATGATATTACATTCAGTGCATAAATCACAAAACGTCCCATAGAATAACTCCTGTGAACAACTACTTACAGATAGAATTACGACTAAGTTTCTGAAAAACCAATACATAGAATAAAGAATGACTTGAATACCGTACAGTTAGAATTTAAAAGACGACACAACACGCTGCAGTTTAGAGGCTGTTGTTGACTGACTTACAGATCGAGTTCATATGAACACTTAAGTGGTTATCTCATTGTATGTATACGTCTGAACTAATTATCAATATATTCCATACATAATTTATATGTTCAAAAGATTATTAATTAGTACAAAAACAATTGTCTTGTTGAAAGTTTAAAACATCAAAATACATAAAAATAAGAAAAAGATATACTTGAAAGATGTTTCTGAAGAACAGTTAGGTTATTTATTGATATCTATAGTGTTTAGTCTATAGAATAGATTTCTATGTTTTTGAAATCATTATATATGCTTCATGACATACTTTCTATTTGAAATATACCGTGATATGACATACTGTTATGGCTTTAAGTTGAGTCGATTTTTACCCTGTGCTAATTGTTGTGTCCTTGACTGGAAAATTAGAGAGCAGCGTACTTATCGATCGATTACAGTGACACGTAAACACGAACGGACGGCCTAGAGTCTTGATTGGTCTCGCTTTCCTGTCTAGCCCAGTCAGTTGAGTCCAGAAGACAAGCCACAGCCTCGGAGATATGAATCATTATATTTCAAACATATACTAACCAAGCATACCACATCGTACCATAAAATAGAAAACAACATTTTGTACAATATTCAACAAGTGAACAGATATCGACCAATAGGAAATGTCCATTTAAAGTCCAAGGACACCATTGGACTTAACATGATAATTATTGGTCTATTCCTCCGCATCCACAACACATACATAGTTATGTATTTTCTGTTCAAATACATACACATTATGGTATTCATGATTAAGTCATATTTTTGTTTAAGCTTGAATAAGTTATCTCATCTGCGGGATTGCGTAGATTCCTTTTCCTATTGAAGATATCTCTAAATTGCTCTTACATTGGAGATAAAATGTACAAAACAACATATACTAATCAAAATTGTGCTCTTTAAGGATCAATGTACAATGAAGAACTGATCTTAGCGAGATCACCATTGAAAACTTAGAAACACAGGATACACGTATCGTTCTAGTATGGAACTCCCCGACAGTGCTTATTCACGACCCCACAGCCAGAAATCAAACCCAAGATCTTTTGTTTCACATGTAAACGCTTAACATCTAGACCACTGAGCAGGCATCCAACGGTGTTAATATCTTGCTTCAACCAATTTAAAACCTTTAGTAATTCTCATCCGTTGCTTGGATTGGATAACCGTCTTCCATCCGGCATGGATTCAACTCCATAGGTTACGGCATCTCACTAGAACTCCGGTTGCATCTTAATACTGCTCACTAATGCAATAGTCTCATACTGAGACGAAACTGCCGCTCAGTGCTTCCAGGTTTTTGTGATGGTCTAATCAAGATCAGTACATGATTTAAACTATGAAAATTTTACAATCTTCACAAATTCCCTATACTGATAATCACCAATGCGGTTGGATTTAATTACTCTTTCAAGAAACCAACAATTTTGTCTTATCATTTCCTCCTTTACAAAAAGATCTTAAAACTATATTTCTGGGTCAACACTGATAATTTATTTATTTCTAACAAAACATTATGTTATCTGACGAATCTACTTGTTTTTTTGAAATTATTAATTCAGGTTGAGGAAGTACATGGGCTTGATCGTGTTTCTCGCGAACTCACCATTGAATCATATGTTGTTCTGTGGAATAAAGAAAGTAAGGTGAAACCTTTCCAGTGATTATGTATAATTTTGTTTTCAGTGTATGATTTTATTGTTGTCTGTTAATCACTTTTCAATCTTCTTTTCCATTTCGTTTACCTCGAGCCAATAAAACAAGAATTTTTTGACAACGCTCCTATCAAAGTATTTGATTCTTGACAAATTTTGCACATATTTTGTTTCTACTCACGAATGTGTAGAAAGTTCAGTGCTCTGCAAACATAAATCGGAATACATTGAATTAAAACTCAACAATTACCACAAACATATACTGATAATTATCATGTGCTCACTAGTGACCAGCTTCAAAAGGTGATTCTCGAAGTACTAGTGAGAGTCTGTGACCAGTGGAGTTTAGACGTGCTGGGTATGAGACAGTTACCAATGAAGACAGTGAAGGATGATCGCACAATATCGTATATTGATTAAAGTCAGACATTAACAGCGCTGGATACTGGCTGAGTGGTCTAAAGGCTAAGCGTTTGCACACAAAACCGAAGATCCTGGGTTTGAGTCACGCGTGAGGAGATCGCGGATATGCACTGCTGAGGAGTCACATACTAGGAAGAAATGGCTGCCTAATGCTTGCAGGTTTTCAATGGTGGTTTGACACTAATCGGTTCATGAGCTCAATTTAAACCCAAAAATTTTGCCAGCCTTATGATGATGTTTAAAAATGTCAAATCATAATTTTCCTAAAGCACCATACTGACTCATCAGCTAAATACGATACGAAACCGCCTCTCCAATCGACTTCAATGTAAAGCATACGAGTCAGTGTTTAAATTTCACCAGAAGTAGTGTAACGCATATATCAGTGAGTCATCTACAAGGTGTTGTATAATACATGGTTGATTTAACTACCTAATGTTTCATTTATTAAACACCTGGCTGTAATTAACTAAGTTTCATGTTTGATTAAATGAGGTACATCTCAGTAAACTCAATAGTACTCTCTAGTTGTAGTATAATCAACAACTTTAGATTCGCTGCATGAAAAATTTATTCCTGCTCTATAATAATAACTACAAAGTTCTTACTTCATAACATCGTATCTGATACGGTCTCATTAATAGTGGATTAGCAATTGCCAAACACTCTTTTTATTGACTGCTTCAAATCCTCATGTTTCATAAACAATTATCTACTTGTTTACATTTTTTCTGTTGAAACCTAGACCCTTATTTAGTATGTCGTGAAGATTTTCTTCATTGGTCCCTATTTAAACAGTAGCGAGTTTGTTCATGAAGAAAAAGCACAAGTAAACAATACTAAATCAACTTGTTTATCTTCGAATTCATTTTTACCCAGCTTTTTCTTATAGAAATAAATAGCTTAGAGATAAAAAGATATGTTTTATTGAGAACATTAAATAAACTGTTGTAGTTAAACAGCGTTTGTTTATTTGAGGTTAGATCAATGTTCAATTATTGAAGAAGTAGGGAATGTACGCGCATATATACAAATGGTCTTCCATTTTAACCGCTTGTTATAGGTTACACTGTAATATGGACAAGTCACTATTCGGAAGTGATTGTTACATCTTGTTGTTTGGTATTTAAAAACATATTAAAATGATGGATTTGATTTAAAAAGTGTGATTTATTTAGGTAATGAAAATGGTTCAAATCAACTTGATCTTCTCATTACAAAATTGAAGTTTTTAAAAGGTACCAAATGTTCTAATAGTGAGTATATCATTAATCAAAACGGATTAATAGTTGTTACGATTAATATGAAAAGTGCGGTATATTGAGGAATCATCTTTCATTTATTCCATGTAATTCTATCGTCACCATCATTTTTTTCTGAGACTTCTTTATAAATCCATTTGTAAAGGAAAAACATCTACCCTATTGATAATCACTAGTATTTGTTTCTTGACAATAAATTGGCAACAATGGGACGTATGACCAAAGAATTATAAATTGAGAGTGCAGAAGATGTTATACTACTTAGATTGGTGATTGTACAATTGAGATGATGGATAGATTTCAAAACAAAAATAAACGTCTGGAAAAGCATCAGTGATGAGCTTTGTACTCATTCTTATTTATTTCTACCATGGATATCTCGTTAAATATTCCATTAAATAGTGTGAATGTGAATATCTCTTTCAATATAATTAAATTTTGATGAAAAGAGTAAGTGTAGACACAGAAAATCCTGAAGATAGCTTTTAACTATCTGAAGGAGTTTTCATGTTAATTAATCTGAAGTTCAAATGACTTCATGAATGCTTACATGATAAATAACGGTAATAGCGATATTAAGTTGAAGTATTTCAGCTATCTTTTTTATTTGTATGCTATTCACTGTGTGATTCTGTATACATGGCTTTCCAGTGATTTATCTTAATGTCAAAACGTGATGATTCTCCATCGTAAGCTAGGAAATGAAAATCTAAGTTTACAGCAGTACAGAAATCTATTCAGGTTTGAACGGAGTGAAATTCATAGGTTCACAGATTTCTGGCCTGTTAATAACCACGTAAATTAGAATAAAAATACGGCGATTTACTCACCTGATGACATAAAAAAAATCATCGGTGAGGCTAAATACTTATGTACATGAAAGTGAGATTTAAATATGTGATAAAGGATTGTAATTAAATTAATTGTGTTATGTTGGGGTGATCCAGAAAACTTCTTGCAAAAGACAAGAAAGGCTCGGGAAACACTAAGGAGCATTTCGTCCAATCAGCATTCACTAGAAGTGTAGCCAGAAACATCAAGAAAGTGGAAAGTCACATGTAGAGTTTCTGATTTGCTGATTACTATTTGCTACTATGTTTAGTAGCATTCCAGAATCTTCGGGAAACCTAAGGACTTCTAAAATACTATAAAAACCATATATTTTCTGTACTAGAACGAACCTTTGGAGTAAAGTACTTCTCGCATATTTTGCGCCTTTTCTCTCGTGTTCAGGTCGTGGTGTAGTTCTAGTTTGGGGGTTACGAGAATAGCTTAGGAACCGAATATAGCGTTCAATCAGCAAGACTTATCATTTAAACTACAATGTATTATTAGGTCATAAACTATAAACTAGGAAGTCTTCTACTTGTCAGCTAATTAAAGTGCTGCACCTAGAAGAACTAGGAATAATTGAGACATTAAGACCTCCCATTATTATAAGTGTTTCATAGTCTATGAGAACTGCTTGGTCCTCCCATTATCAGATTATTGTAGCAGATGTTAGCGTTAAGCTTTTTATATACAACGTTTTTGAGTCGCTCCACAGTAACTGGAAATTTGATGGAGGACCTTACAGATACATTCAAAGAAGAAAATGTTTTAGTGTATTACCAAGATGAAGGTCACTGTGGAAATGTGATGTACTTGAATTAATGTACTAAGCATTTTCGGAATATTGATATTTAAGGCAGATAAAGCTTGGTGAGCGAGACTGAACGTATTATACTTGTATTTCGTAGTAAGCGCGCAATGAAGTACAAAACAACCATCGCTTAGTACAAGTATCACAGTAATCCAACGTATTTCACTGTTTTCCATGTTTCTGCATAGCAATAACATAACCAAGTCCTAGTCAGTAAGTTTGAAAGAAACGTCTTGTTTCTGTTGTCTTCATAAGATGACCAATATTTAGGCTACTCATTTATTTTGCTGGGTGGACTTGATAAATTCGTATATAAGTATTTGATAATTCCAACTTAGAGATGGTTTATCCACATCACCACTCTGTTAGCTGGAAATAGTTTAAATAAACCCATGCTGTGCTTTGCAGTTAAAAAGTAACTACGGTTCGCTCCGTGAACAGTCGGAGTCTAGGGACTTTCACATTTCTTAACCTACTGTCTCACCTTCAGAGTTAGTTTTTTTAACTGTCTTTTGAAATTCCACTTCTTCATGTCACAAAATATCCTAAGGGTTCGAGTTTCTTGACCAATTATACCACTTCCTGGGGGGAATGTTTCATGAAATTCGTTTTGGGTATTCTTAACTAAGTTAATCTTTGAGTACGGTGCGTACGGAGAATTTATCATGACTCCTTCATTTCTAAGTATTTCTTTCAACATTATTCTGTTGATTGTGTCTTAAAGCTACAGAGGAGTTTTGAGTAGTCTTTCAGGTTTATGTTGGAAAAAATAACTACTACCGTCCATTCGATTTCCAGGTTTTTAGCTATATTGTGCTAGAAAGAGCTTGTAGCTAGTCGACAAACTGATGTTTGTTATGTTGAAAAGATGTTCCTAATTCTTAGAAGCTATCTTAGTAATTATATTAGAGTTAATAATCATGTCATTTGATGGACGTCTTCTGATATTCGGTCTTTCAGTAGTTGAGGTTAGGTTTTACCTCTTTCCCAATTGTTTAATGTTTTCTCAATAACCTTTCGCGATAGCAGCGTTGTGTCTGTAGGCGTTATGCTAAAGGACAATAAACGGCTGACTGTAACAAGGAGCATCGATGTAATCGCAACACTGCTTTACAATAAATAAGGTCCAGTTCTGGATAGTTTGTTCAGTCTTTGCTAATATTGCACAAACCGATTAAGTTAAAGATTACCGAGCCTATCGTGTAGCAGCTGTTGTGAGGTCAGAGCGATCTTCTTAAAATCAGTTGTCCCACTTACTACGCAGGTGAATGATTTATGTGGCGCATATCTATTTGGTGCATCCTTATACCAATGTTTATGTGTTTAAATAAATAAAAATAGATGAAACAAAAAAGCAACCTATTGAAATTTATTCTCAGAATAGGTTTTCTCAAGAAAAGTACTACTTTAATCAAATCGGATTACTTCAAAGTTTAGAAGAAATCTGAACCATTACTTCCGACTTATATAGTACGAAGAAATTGACTGTCTTTACCTGAACTGCAGACGGAAACTAGATCTTATAAACTTTTAAAAAATAAATCGTAACGGATAATATATCGGTCAACTCATTTTCAACAGCCTAGATGGATACTGTTTAATACGGTGTTTCGAAATAAAAATTGAAGGTTTTTCAACCTAGGACACATGTTGTACCGACCTCTCAAAGTCTGACTTACAACTTGCGGATGACTCTCGAATTCACTCACACTGATCCTGTCATATTCAAAGGTCGTGGTGCTTTTATTCACTGACTGTTTAGTGCATACACGTCATGGTGCTTGTGGTAGCGGTGCTTTAATTTTCTGAACTTTCTACCAAGAGTTTTAAAATTGTTTTGGCTACCGTTAGCACTATAAATGACATGATCGACAAGTATAACAGTTCCGTCAAGGTAATGTCAAATTGTGTTGTAAGTTGGAAAACGTTATGTCAATGTTATGTGTAATGAAGTAAGATTCCCATGGTAAACAGTGAATGAGTTTCAATGCGCTTTCATATTTGTTGATTAAACTGCCTAAGCTGGTACATTATTGCAACTTTAGAGTTTGCGGTATCTTGTACAATGTCATGTCCGATTTGTTCTGTAGTGGATCAAAAATATATCGATTCCAACTTAATGTATTTATATGATCAATATCATCTATACACAAGAGAAAACTACACAGGACTGTAGCGGTAGGTTAGATAGCCCAATTAGGATGTATGGTAAGGCCTTCTTTTCTATTGTGAGAAGTAAGATTAAGGATTATGTGGAACACTTCAACTACTCTCCTTTCTTTATAGTTCGAAAATTCTTGTTGTAATATTTTTATGTTTTTAAAATCGATTTGGTGGTCGTCGAAAATGGTGTGAACTGCTATTGTCGGTTTAATTTGAAGTTTATCCAGTTCTACGCGATTATTAGGAGGTTTCTTTGTATACCTAAGATGTTCTTTAGCTCGAGTCTAGATTTCGCGAGATCATTCTTCAATAAAGAAGGCATCACAATTAACACAACCTAATTTGTAGACAAAGATCTGTGTTGACATAAATAGGAGTTTTCCTTTTAAGCGAGCCAAAGTATTCCGAATGACATTTTATTTTTGAAACTCATTTCCATATTCAAATTTTCTAAACTACAATTTTTGATTATTTTAAACAAATGACATTGAATTCATTTGATGTTGTTTTACTTGTATCTTCCAATTGTTATTCAGCACTGCGATTGATCAGTCTCATGTTGAACATCAACTCTGGGATGTAGGTACATCCAGCTGATGGGTCCTAAATAGGACGAAACACGCGTCAAACTGGATTCTACTGCTAGCCACTATCCATCTTTACCTAAATGACATTTTAGCGGTAAATAAATCCCCAAAATAAATAGCTCTGTAAGTTTTCGACATTGGATGCTGACCATATGTTTTAGTGGACTCATCTAGCTGAAGGCGCTCGGTCATGCATTCGCACCAGATCACGTGTGGTAACGCTGTACTCCGCATCTACCGCAATCGCTAGCCAGATTAGATCAGATAATTCCGATATATTGGTAATCGCCAAATACACTCTTCCAATCTCCTCGACTCTGTATTTTGATTTCTCTGGGTGGTTACGAAATATATTAGAAGGTGTTACTGGTAGAAGCGTTGTCGAACACTGAATACCTGTGACATCTTCAGGACGTTATTTAGATTGTCAGGAATTGGCGTGTTTTAGTTCCTTTTGGTCTGGTAATCCACGATTTTAAGTAGCTCATGTGCAATTGAGTTTGTTCACATTTAATTCGGTTAAGCCATTTTGTTAAATTATTTAACAGACAGAGTCATACGTACAATAACAACTTATCTATATCATCGTACGTGTCGTTAACAAGGTTTGAGTTGATAATTTCGAATAAATTGAGCATTGAGTAAATTGTTATAAATAAATAAATAATGTATTTTTAATATCTCAATGAGTAGAAAAATCGGATTTTCTAACGTTTCGTTGAAATATTACAAATATAATATTCATTTATATACCATTGTATGTATGCTTGAGCACCGCTTCCCACCTACGCACATATTCACTGAGTTCCCTATGTACATTATTATCATCATCATCAGCTTTATTCAATATTATATTTTTGGTACAATATAGAATTCTCAGCGCAAAGTATTTCAACAAGTTTCCGTTTCTTTCTTCTTGGTCGATCCTGGCGATAAATATTGAGTGATCACCAGTTAGATGTTAGCAGTTCAGTAAATCAACATCTGAATAATGTGCATTCTTTTCGTTATATATTACCAGCAACCACATTGACTCCTACTGATTTTTTTGTAACTTTGACAACGAAAGGTTGTACACTTTTCAGAAACGCGGCAGAATAGGTTATGCGATTAATAAACATATTGATATATTAAAACAAATAAAAATAGATAACTTGTTGAAATATCTAGATGGCAGGAACAGGTAGCCCAGATGATCAAGCAGGCCGTCTTTTGTTGTATACATATATATATGTACATCTTAATCCTGTCCACTGATTCGCTCATTCAACTCACGAACTCACACGCTCACTTGCTTTTCAGCATTAGCCTTTCATTCCTGTTTCGCGTGTTTGTGGTTTTGACTATCTGTACGTCGTGCAATAATAAACGCGATCAGCATTTCGTACTCGTCTTCTGATTTATACATCATTGAGGACATTTCCTAGTAACAGTTATCAGGACGAACTGTTTAAGAAGTTTAAGGATTACACCGCTACAAACAACTGTTATAGTTCGAGATATATGTTCAGATAAAGCATGTAATAAGAATATCACTGTGGTCTGGAAAGGTATATAGCAACTATATCAGAGTTCTGTTATCATAATATCAGGTACTTGAGATGAAGAGACATATGTGTGCAGTAGTGTATTTGTGAGTGATAATCAGTGTGTCAGTATATGAGGAATTCAAAATGAAAACAGAAAATCCGGCGCCATGCTTTTTTAAACAACTATTTTACAGTTAATCATATTAATTTTACTAATTATGAGAATTAATGAAAGAAATATGAACACTGGCAAAATCCGGTTACAAAACAAGTCTCTACAATTCATTCTTCTTGAGCCACCCTTCGACCGTTTCAATTATTCGCTTATTAACCCCGACTGTTTTTTATGGGGTATATTTGTGCATTGGTTGCCCTTTTCATCACTTGTCTATAGCTTATTTTCTTGTGACTATATGTATCGAGTCACGCTTGATCTAATTGGTTTGGTTCCCTCTTCCCCATTTCCCTTTGCTCACTCGCTTTTTGTTGTGAGTGCCTGTCCGGATCAATGGGTGTACAAAATACTCGTGTTCGAAATCCATTCTCGTATATGATTTATTTTGTTCCGTCATTCTTTGAAATGGATTAATCAGCAATTATGTACGAGGGTAACCAGGATTTTTTACAACATCGTCATACCGTTGAATTAGAGTCAGGTAACCGTTCACTAAAACTTCGATAGTGTAGTGTGAGGAGAATGAAATACACTCAATGCAACTCTATGATCACTAAGATAGAGTCTGTGTTGATTGCAAACATTAAGTCGAGCATATCATTCCTCTCGGTCGACGTTTGCACTTGTTGGACCTGCACACAAAGTTTTATTATTTCAGCTAACTTGTTATATTGTCCTGGTACCAAAGCCGAATTTCGTGTGATGTTCGGCAGATAAAGACCACCTCCGATGGTTTTAAACGTATGTAGTCGATGTAAAACAATCAAAAATATGTTTTTTAACAATTTTTTAAGGCTACTTTCAACATGGGCTGGTTTGTATGTACATCATGGTAGTAGATAATTTTGCAATCCACAATTTACAGTAACTTAAATAAGATCATCTAAAGCATCGAGACATTCATTCTCAAATTTACGTGCTTGAATGTTAGAACAGACATGAATAATTGTACCTCTTCCCATTCCATGGAGACTATCGGTTCGAAAGAAAACGTAACTATTCACTTCTAAGTAGGGACCAGACATTGATGATTTGCACCACATTTCCATAATAAGTACAATACTTGGATGTACGAGGACTAAAAGGGTTTTAAGATGCCTAATTTCACCAAAGAGCTGATTTTTAGAGTTAAAACAAGAAACTAAGAGTACTCATGAAGACGCAGGTTAGATAATAGATCATAAGAAGTAGTTCCATTGATACCGGTGAGACTATTCAAGGTGATAATGATGCTTTGTAGGGAACTGTGCAGAGCAATTTCGTCATTGTTTGTATCGTATTGACCGCTGCCGTCAGAGAATCTGGCGGAGCCTCAAAAAAGCTTCTTGATTGTTTTTGACTTTAACAACTGACAGAGGAATCGTTTACATTCTGGGGACCGCACCAAGAAGGCTCTTAGTTCTGTTTGTGAACATATTTAATTCCGATGTTTAATAGTCCAATTTAAGTCGATGATTATACATGAGAGTAGCAGAGATGTATATTTCGACAGTAGTCATTCGATAAAGATTATTCGTCCGATCCAGCTAGAGTCAGATATTGAGCCACTAAAGCTCGTAAGAAAATGTAAAGCTAGAAACTCGGTGAAGAAATAGCCAGATGTCGTCGCACCTCAAGTGCATCGTCACAAACATTGAATTCACAAATGACTACTCCTCATCCCTGCCTGCCCCAGTACAAAGATATTGTACAACCATATCCCTCAAATATATTGGCAAAACCAAGGACGAACGTCAACTGTCAGCAGGTGTTAGAATTGTAAGCAACTATACGTGTTAGCTTCGTAGGGCAGTCTGTAGGCAAGTCTAAGGTCAGTGTTTCATGGACGACCATTGGGGTTCCTTACAACACTCTATCGTATGTGCTACAAACTAGCCCGTTTCCAAAACTGTCCTCAGAATTTACAAGCGGTCTAAAATCGTAAGGAGTGGTACCCTTTGAGGGCTAAGCCTCATGAGGTACTACAGGGTAGAATAACATCAAATTAGTGTCAACAGCACATGCAGTCGAATCAAATAATCGACAAACCGATGTATAAACCACTAGAACAAGACAGTCTTCAGTATCATATCAGGCTAATTGATGAATTTTTTTGATATCGGAAAAACTCATTCGGTCATGCAACCTATCTTCGACAAGCCAAAATGTACTTTCCCAGTTGTTGCGTCTTAATCGTCTGGCCAGAATTGGAAGTGATGACTCAGAATTCCTGACAAAACAGTATTTCCAAACATTTCAACCGTCATATACAACCTACGTCGATGTGAGATTCGCTTTTAACCTGAGACTAATCTCAGAAACAAACCTAAGGTCATAATTGTCATATCACAAACTGAAGAATCTAAAAATTACTTCTTGTGGTTCAGATATGTTCCCCTCTGCTATACTGAGGGAAGTGGCCTCACTCTTAAAACCACCTCTTAGTGTGATGTACTCAAATTTTTTAAGCCAAGACATGGCCTTAGAAAACAGGAAGCTGACGCATATCCCACGAGTTCCCAAAGGGGACCGATAAAATCAACCTTCAAGCTACCGACCGGAAGCACTTCTCTCACTATTCTGAGAAGTTATGAAATCCTTGGTATGAGACGGTCTATGCAACCACCTGTAATCTACAAAGTCCCTTTCACCCCAAAACACAGTTTCGTAATGGGGTTGTGTGGTGTTTGTATGAACTAATGATTCCTTTGTATTTGATGTCTGCCTGATTTGAAATTCCGAATGCAAAAAGTTCGTTTGTGCTCTTGTAGTTCTGCTTGTATAAATTGTGTGATTCCAAGGATTTGTGGTTCGTATGGTAATTCAAATAATCCTAATCATCACAGGCTGCTCTTGACTAACCAATATTCCGACTGGGGTAATCAAATGGACAACTATTTGTGGTTACAAGAGAAAGGAAGATGTGATATACCTAGAATTCTCGGAAACTTTCAGTAGGGCTCATCATATATATTTCATTAATGACGTTAGTCTGTTAAGTGTCAAAGCGTCATTAACAGAATGGTTTACTACATACCACATCCAGGATCCAGTTGTAGGACTTCTCTTTATTTATATGAATGGTCTTCTCCAGCATGTGTCAACTAAATTTTTGGTTTTAAATAACGATACTGAACGTTGGTGAGAAGTTTGCAACTAAGATGATAAGGTGGGACTTCATGAGGATCTGGCTGGACTTCAAAGTTAGGTAGATAACAATGGACCTACTTTCACTCCACACTTTGAAGTTCGAAATAGATCATGTGAAACATGTTTCAGACCACGCATAGAACTGGAGTAACTTCTAGAGGTGTTCTGAGTTGAAAAAGATCAAGTAATGTTGTTACCCTATCATCATTCGGGCATAAGCCCAGTGGTGACCCCATAGTTTCACAAATCATTGTGAACACTATTTTGCTCCCCCAGAAAGCTGATATAGGACTTATTCTCACACAAATCTTGGGAGTGACATGGAGAGTTTAGAGGCTTAACAGCGAAATGAATTATAGACACACGCAATGTTTATGAGTAGTCTAATCCTGGGATTCTCTGCCGCCTGAGGTGGTTTAATTGACTTCGTAGGACTTCGAGAGAAAACTTGAAATGTAGTAAGTGATCCAGCGCAACGCGCCCTATTTAAACGGGACAGTGGTATATTTTATATTAATGGTCGTTTAATTGATCATAAAGACTACTGTTTTGCCTCAACTGAATTAATTTCAGTTTAAGTAGTGTTCAAGAGTATCACTTTTTAGATGGTAGTTGGAGGTAGTCAACAGGAAACCCTGGACCCGGGTTTCGTGCTACTTGGCACTCGTCAGCAAGGTGTACCTGTAATCTTGAGGGAACTGGTGCTCCCTGGCGGATTCGATCTCGTGTCACCCAGCTTCACAGTCAGAGACGTTACCACTGAGCTATCCGAGCCGTGACTAACCTCCTGTAGGACTGAAATGTAATCACAATTGATTGATCACTGGGTGGTGATCAATCAATTGTGAGTATCACTTTTTTCTAGAGACGTTTACCATCTGTACTTCTGAGTACAGCTAAGAAAACGGCACTAGTATTTTTCTCCTCGTTGAGTATATCATTTAGTATTACTTGTATCCAAAGGTGTCAAGGTTTTTCTGTATCTACTGTAGTTGAATTCTTTATTGTTCTTAGATGTGGTAATATACAAACCTCTGTTTTTGTGTTCACTGTCTATCAGTTATGGAGCCTTTAAAGTAACTTATTTTAGGAATCAGTTGTCGCTGTAGTTCTTCCTGTGAGAACACAAAACAACTTTATGACACAAGTAAAACATCATTTTGGAAGACTTACATGATGGAATGCAATGTGTCAACTACAACTGTTACGTCCAAGTTTTGCTCGTTCCAGTTATTGAAGTACGGACTATCGATCTACTCGCAAATTACGAACCCAAATTAACAACAGAACCAAGTCCCAATTTAGATACCAAATTTATTCGTAATTCACAAATAATCGACCAAATGTCTTTCTTCAATTTTGTAGGTTCCCGGAGCAAAACTCCCAAATACCAAACCAAAGACAAAGAGAGCACCAAAATACCAAACCAAAGACAAACCAAAATGTCCGAAGTAATGATATAAACAAACAAGTTCAAAAGTTAAGTAAAACAATTACATCCAAAAGCACAGTAAATTATTGATGTACAATAAAAGGTTTTAATCCGCCAAATGTCTTCAGTTCTCCCATAACATACAACAACATGTTCACAACATGTGCATCAAACTCACACCGGCTGCAAATAAAGGGTACTGTAAGCCACTATCTCTTTGGCTATGCACAGCATGCTGTTCTACAAAGTCTCTGATGATTCTTGAGGCGAGTGAGGTTCTGAACAGAGCTGTAAAATTGCCCTCAGATAAACAGGCAGAAGTAGATGAGTATTTATAAACAGTTGTCTACGTAAAATACTCAACACCAGTTGGCCGGATACCATCAGTAACAGCCTACTGTGGGAATGGACAAACCAGCTTCCAGCTGAAGCGGAAATCGGGAAACGATGTTGGAATTGGATAGAACATACATGACAGAAGTCACTAAACTGCATCACGAAGCAAGCATTAACTTGGAATTCGGAAGGAAAGCAGAAAAAAGAGATGCCTAAGGACAAATTACGTCAAGAGACGGAAACACATAAAAAAGAATGCTTAGCGACTGAAGAGAACTGGAGGGGATTTCCCAGGACAGGGTTGGGTGGAGAGTGATTTTGAGTGGTCTACGCCACCCCAGCGTAGAGTAACGGGCGTAAGGAAGTCAGTAAGTAAATGGGCGAAATTCAGCTTTCGAGGAAATAAAGAGCGTTATCATAAGCCCAGCTCTGGATTTGAAAGAGACTATAAAGTTGGGCCCTATTAGGGAAGCGGATAACGTCGATGTAGGCATTGTTACAAGGTGGAAGAAAAAGGACGCTGAGAAGACAGATATTATAGGCAGCACTAAGGTATGTGAATGTGCGGTTTCAGTTTCGGATTCACATGTCAACTATGGGGGGCATAGTCTGCACGGTGTAGATGGTGTGATCAAGAGACATAATAAGATAAATGATTGACTTACAGTTACACCCAGAATAGAAAAAATAAGGGAGTAGAGTGAGGCCTCTGCATTTGACGACATATCGGATTGCAGGACAAGGAAGATTTCGTAGATTAAAATTCCACAGCGTGTTAAAACGATCCACGCTGGAAGGTCAGTCATTTTTCATGAGTTAAAAGAATCTTTTAAAAAGGGGCCAACAACTAGACTTGAACACAACTTCAGCCACATTAAGTGCTTAATAAGCAAACTACTTGCAGAGAGAGTTTCAAGAGTTTACATCTGTAAGTCTTATGCTATAGGACAAAAAGTGGATTCTGAAAGTACTCAGAAAAACCACCTCTTTAGGTCACCTTTGCGTTGGTAGAAGAAAAAACATGATACTGGAAAACTCACGCAAACTGACTAGATCCGGAATATATTTTTGTAAGGATCATAGATCGATTGATCATACGAAGAGGTGAGTAGTAAGGGAAAGTTCTCTACAGTTTTAAAGGTGTGCTATACAATTCTCGCAGCCTGCTGAATAAGGTGGTGGAGCCCAAGACAGCGGTGAATATAGAAAATCCGAATGCCATTGCTGTCTCAGAAACATGGTTAATATCAGAAGTGTTTGATAATGAAATTCAGTTGACTGGTTTTTTATCCAGAAGGGCTGATTGACTAAACAGTAAGGGAAGGTGTAATTATCTCATACATAAAAAGTAATTTCACCACACGTGTTGTTGAGACAGTGGCACACCATTTAAGGAAATGTGAACTGGTGTGTTACAGGCCGAAATGTAGACGGCGAATTATTGAATTAGTTGTAGTATACCGCAATACAGAATGTGTAGTATTCAATACGTCACTTGACCAAGGTGAGCTACATACTGACTGGACGGATGCAATCGTCACTCCAGTACTTAAGGCAGAACCAAGACAACTTCCATCGAACTACAAACGTGTAAGCCTCACCAGGGTCGTAGTTAAAATACTGGAAACAGTATTCAAAAAGACCATGATGATATTTCTGGGGACCAACAACTTGTTAAGCAGCAAACAACATAGTTTTAGAAGAGGTTTATTTTGCATAACAAACTTATTTATAGTAAGGAAACAACAGATAAAGGCTCAAGACAATGGAAAACCAGTGTATGTACTCTATGCAGATTTTAGCAATGCATTTGATAAGATATCAACAAATAGACTGAATCTGGAAAATCTTGGCACTGCCAAGTACCTTAGTGAGAACTATCACTGAAAATCGCGTTCAGGCTGCCAGCTCTAACCCAAGAGTGGATAAAATACCTGTGGCATACAGGTTTTCACACCAAGTCATCAGTTCTTGGAACTATTACACAAAGCAGTGGTGTCTGCGCCTTCAGTTGACTCTCTCAGGAGAAAAATATACACTCACAGAAGCATACTTGTACAGAAATGACACAGACCGTAGGGTTTCTGTCCTCACTACATAAATCTGAATCTAATCTGAATGTAGTTCAATGTTTTATTATAATCTACTATTATTTATGCATAGGTTTCTACATAAAATTATAGGTGATCCACCGATACTACATACGGTGACTCGTTGGGCGACGGTTCTCTCTCTCCCATCCACTACTCGGACTATAGTGTTTAACCCATTAGTCGTTTTTATATTAAGTGACCCTATGACCTTGTGAAGTCAGCGCACAATTCGTCCCACATAACTTGAAGGCGCTGGTGTTAGTGGGTCGTAAGTTTAGTCATTTGTTGCACATTAATCGGTCCACAGAATCAGATATATTATCCAGTTGTTGTTATGTACCTTTTTCTAAAAGTTTTTGACACTTATTTCGGCAATTATGTGTCTGGCGGTCGGAACTATCGAAACATATGTGTTATATGACACAAGTTACTAGGTTGATTCTGCTATATTCCCATCAGAAATGAATGTTTTACTGTGTTTCAGTCCTATTGAAGAGCACGTGTTCTATCAAGTGGCATTTTTTGACTAGATTCCCTGGATAAGGTGTCTCGTACGAGACATTCATTACTGATCCTGATTCTTAAGTCTTGATATATTACTAGCTGTAAGCTCTCATTTATTCTAGCCTTTCCTTGCACCTAAAGTGTTCGTCTAATCTTCTAGACGAACAGAGAAGTATTTTCGCTATCTACTGTCCACAATCGAGCGCATTGATCATTCTGACTATTATGATTTTACTTGTTCTTCGGGTAAAATTTCTAGAAAGACTCAATATCGGTATTATTCAATTTTGTTGTGTCGCGAATTGCGGTATATCTCTGTTGTTACTATTTTTCAGTCATACCATGTTTTTGGTTGTTGATGGCAATGGTAATACTTATAGCATATGTCGGACATTCCGTTGCTTAAAATGTCTTGTATTTCAGTGGTTAGGAAGCAAGCAATGATATACACACAGATTCTCACCGGCGAGTGGGTCGTGTCTTCCTGAAGTTGTAATAAACTTTCTCGAGTATTATATGTTGGGTATAAGAGGTTCTCTGACAGATGAAAGTTTCGACACTTGTCCTTGAGGCAGAACTGTTATTTAATAGTGCTTCTGCACTCATTCAAAAAACATACACGGAATAAACCTAAACTTACAGTTCGTCGTCAGACGTAGAATTAAGTTTTAAATAATTTAGTGTGCTGGGACCTAAAAAAGAAATCAGTCCACGTATTCAACGGTTGCTTGACTGAGCCATTTCAAGAGGTTCAGACTTCATATTTGAAGTTCACAAAGTAATTGGAGTTCATGACTGAAACCGTAGATGACATTTGTCAAAATCAATCTTAGTCATAAGAATGTGAAGGATGACACAGGTATTCAGTGTTTGACAACGCTTCTACCAGTAACACCTAATATAATTCGTAACCACCCAGAGAAATCAAAATACAGAGTCGAGGAGATTGGAAGAGTGTATTTGGCGATTACCAATATATCGGAATTATCTGATCTAATTTGGCTAGCGATTGCGGTAGATGGGGAGTACAGCGTTACCACACGTGATCTGGTGCGAATGCATGACCGAGCGCCTTCAGCTAGATGAGTCCACTAAAACATATGGTCAGCATCCAATGTCGAAAACTTACAGAGCTATTTATTTTGGGGATTTATTTACCGCTACAAATGTATACATGCTCTTTTTTCCTGTAAGTTTGAAATTTCGAGTCAAAAGTTTGAGGATTATTTCGAAATTTTTGTAGAGAATTTCAGTGACACGAAACATCTAGTTTATTTATAATAAGGCATCATGCTAACTCGGCACGTAGACAAATTTCGTGAATTCATCAATTCTTGATAGTTGAAAAAACAATACAAAATAAATAATCACCACAGCTAAACAAACGTATCAGGAGTTAGTGTATGTTAAAGACGGTTACTTGGACTTGTCCTTGGTAAACAGGTTATGTTGGTTATTTGAACAATTAGGACAAACGTACACCTGATAGATGTGCATTAGTAGCTTTTATTTTTTAATTACATCTCTAACGACTCATCGCTCGCTGTTAAGATATCTCTTATTACGATCGAGCTATTCTTATTGCTTAGTACTCCTTCGACACTTCACATTACTCGATTAATTTCCGAGTCAGGACATGGTTGAACAGGAACGCAATTACATTCCCAAAACCATGGTTTGGTAGGAGTGAGAATAACAAATCGTACAGTTCAAAAGCAACAAATAAACTTTGAAAATAATCAGTATGAAATGATGGTAAAACTCATTATTTGGTGGAAGGCGAAAACTGAATAGATCTGTGTAGCTACAGACAAATGAAAACTATGTTTCTTGATTACTTTAATCATGTTTTGCTATTACTTCTTGAACTTCATAAAAATTATGACGTACTCCACAGCCACCATATAATAATGCATTGATTGGCTTTATGTTCTAATCTTTTCGTATGCATCGATAAAGTTACCTTCCATCACTTTTAAGCAGAACTTAAAAATACCCTATTTGTAGTATTTAAAATTCATTAAATATTTACTTGAATAGGTAGATTCTTTATCTAGCTTCCATTGCTTTTTTCACTGTTTCTGTTGCATTTCGCTTTATATCAGGTGGTTTCAGAGGGCACTGCTTCGTTGATCCACTGACACGATTATCCTTTAGAACAGCATGCGCAGAAGGGTTTTGCATAATTTATTCTGGAGAAAAAATAAACTGTTGCCGTTGGGATTAGTGTGTTTTGGACTCCTATTGATTATGTGGATAAAAATAGATAAACTTGACCATGGTAAGTTGCATGCAGATTCAGCCTATTTACCGAATCAAATATATGTAGAAAATAACCAAATCTTAGCACGTCAACCAAGTCATAAGGAACTAAAATATCAAGATGAGTCCCAAAAGAACAATTCACTTATTGGGAATAATCTAAAAATACCTCATTTTCCGAACGCTCGTCCATATCCTCCAATTGACAAAGATTTAAGTAAGTAGTCCAAGAGGTATATTCTTTTTCATCATTTATTAGAAGGGATTTATGAAAATTCAATGTGAATTCATTTTATATAATAATTTTGTATTCATTCACTATGCTCTTACTAATTTTGAGAATAAAACCATTTGTGTACAAAATCAAGACGGAAATTTACGAAATGGACTGACTTTATTATGTAAATTTTCCTATATGTACATTATAATTTTAAAATTTTCGAATCTGTCGGAAGTATTTAGTCAATTTAAGAAACTGTGCTCATAAAATATTTCAGAAGTGGTATACAGAAGCAGAAATACACTACATTAGTTTTCCTATAAAAATTAAATTAATTAGCAGAACAATATTGGTGTGTATTTCACATGCATCAGTCAGTAATTCTGACAAACAAACTATGGAATGTAATCTGGAATTCATAGTGATAATTAATGGAAATGAAGCTTAAAACTTTGATAGATTTATCAAAAATCGATTCCTCGTGAAATTACTTAACAGCTCCAAGTAGATTGTTTGCTTAATAGTAAGAACATGGTCCAATAGTCTAATGCACACAAGAAGTGTTTTGTTTTTTTACGGTCGCCACAATATCTCTACGTGAACTTAGTTACGAGTTACATATGAAAACAATTACGTATCTATTTATAATATATATATGTATGCATGTGCATATTCCAAGAATGATTACAGAGTGCACACTAATTTACAAGGATGTTCAGATTGATACAAAAGGTGAAGCTTTCAGAAAAAAAAGAGTGTTTCGTAGATTATTTTGAACGAATAATTGATACATAGTCGTTGATAATTTGAAGTATAAGATGAATTCATGGTCAGAGATAACATCAGTTTTACTAGCCATAAGACGTAGAATATCGCTATATTATCTAAACTACGCAATGTGGAATCGTATATAATTTTCTAATGTTTGATAATTATTACCGTTTTCTCCTCATTCATTGAAATTGCAATACTTTTGAGGGAGTGACTATTGAAGGTGATAGCATAAGCATTAAGTCGTGAAATTCTGTTAATTTTTCAAAACTAATGAGACGAATCAGCAGTTAAATTATATTCACGTTTGATGTGGATCAAATCTTTCATTTTATTAATTAATCTCCACTGAAATTAAGGGTGTTTTGATATTGCTAACATTCACAGATTGTTCGTGGAACGATTTATATATCATGACAGAACTAATTAATAATAATGCAATCATTTAGATATTTGCACGTAATAAAGCGGTGTCACATCAACATGTTTGACGAAGACCTGAATTCACCTGATCATTTTTTTACTTCGAATAACATATGAGCCGTTAAAGATGTGAAAAAAAAACGATATACACTTGAGTTATTCAAATAAATCGAAACTGATTTATCTTAATAGAATTTTAAGCAGATCTTCATGTTGAGTAATGGTTTATCCCAAAACCATTTACTGTTATGTCTAACATGAATGAAGGCTTGTTAGAATGAAACAGTTGGTTAAATCATCTAGAATTATTATTGCCTTTGAACTTGGCTTTCATTTCCGATAAAATTTTTATTTGAATTTCAAATATGAATCTTTGTTAGTCTGATATTATTCGTTGATTGCTTTAACAGGTCATGAGAATGCGAAACGCCGATCTGTCGATGATGAACACGGTGAAAATCATTTGCCTGATATTGTGCCGCCTGTTAATGAGGACAATAATGTTCTTGTGCAACCTGACTATAAGGAAAAGTCTAGAATTATGGGCGGTAATGAACCTGTTGAAAGCAGCCATTCAGATAAACTATCAGTCATAGCCAAATTAGGCTTATCTCCTAGTTCTCCTCCTCCAAAAAGCGACGAATACTCAACAGGTCCAGGTCAGTGTATCTTCTAACTTGGTTATTGCTACTAATTTTAACTCACACACATGGCTTTCTAAACAAACGTTTTTTAATTTATGAATTTCGTTCTACGAGGCTTGTTAACTATGAATTTCGAATTATTTTAATCTGAGGTAATTCAAAACGCACCGGAGACAGTGATCTTGGATACGCACACGAGGACTATTTTTTTTTGTTAGAACTACTATGGGGTTTAACTTATTTTTATTGATCTACCCATCAGTAAAATCATGAACAATTATTGCTAAATCATGAATAATAATCGATGTAGAATAGTATGGATAAATTTTTTCTTCTATAGTTTTTTTACTAACATTGAACGATAAAGACTACTGACGTATATGTTTGTGTAAGACCATTCGATGGATTGGTAGATAAGTGAAAAAAGTTGGCCAATTCAAATTTATGCCACATTCTAAGCTGCTCATGAATAACAGACTCATATAAAGACTTTAGATGTTTTAAGCACTTCAAACTAACCATTGTTATCTGCTGAATTAATTGCTTTTTTGAATAAAGCTGTTACTCCATCGGAATCGATAACTTTTATTATTTCTGCATATCATTCAATTGTAGTGATTGTTATTCATTTAAGAAGGACATTAATTTGATGTTTCCACTTTGATTAGCATTTGTTGTGGATGAAGTACGTGCATCGATTCATTTACATAAATATTTTTGTATTTTATTGTAATATGGACTTTTGTCCGCTACTTCATATCCCAATTACTATTAACGATTTCGCCTGATGTTCGCAATCTCAGCATTTGTGTAAACCAGTAAACAAGTGAATATTTTCATGTGAATGAACTTTTGAAACTGTAATTATCTTCAATGAAAAAAATTTATGTTGAGTACTATGCTCTAATTCACCGTTAACTCTAGCGTTTTCACTATGGGGGTTTGTGGAGACTTGAATTTTTGTAGGTTACATCATAGACTGATTTTAGTGAGCCAACTATTAAAAACCCGAAGGCAGTTCATAGATATTTTGTTCCAGTTTGAAACTCGTAAGCAGTATGCATCTACTACCCTACCGGGGATCGAACAAAGAACTCTAGGTTTCGCAGTGGACCCTTAAAACGTAGACCATTAAGTCAGCATCATTAGTTTAAATGGTTGTCTTTCTTATGTTTACCGATTTTCCTTCGAGTGGCTAGGTAATTATGTTGTTTATTGTGGACAATATGGGGTTTGCTGCTGCTGAATTTGGAAAAAATTGAACCGTTTGGTCCTGATTTAGTTACCTTAGAGTAACACATTCACTGCGAAACCTTAATGTACAGAGTTCTACTGCGTCTAAACTCTCGAGTATTCAATGGCAAAGTTTCCTAAACTAACACTTACTCACTGTTTCTCACTAATTTTCTTGCTAATGCTATTTCATATTGTTAAATATAAAAATACTTTGTTTTTTTTCACGCCTTAACATCCGACTAAACACTGATTAATTAATTATTATTTACTTATTTATTTTTTATACGGTTTATCATTTGAATGACATGAACTTTTGACTTACCGACGATCAAATCACAATATATTGGATAAAAGGTGAAGGTGGTAAAGCATATACAGTAAATCGTGAAGACTTATCACCAGCTGAACAGTTAATATTCGACAAGGGTTGGGAAGATAATGCCTATAATCAATATGCTAGCGATCGAATTAGTGTGAGACGATATTTACCAGACTATAGAGAAGGAGCGTAAGTAACCGTCGAAATTGTGATTATTAATTTTTTTTTCTCTATGTAGACGGATTTACTGTTGTTTGCTAATTTTTTTTATCCCGTGTGATTGGTATTTTTGTGATTATTAAACCACCTTCTATAATTTTGTTGTGAATTTGGAAATGTTAGTTGGCTACCTGGGTCAAAGTCAGGTCTTCAAAATGTTGGGAATATCATGGGTGCTAGGAGAGTGGACTAACCGTTAAAGAATGCATATAATTTTTGCAATTCATACATTCGAGCATAAGCTAGTTGATCATACCTTCGAATTTCATTAGAATTAAGAAAGACTAAACTATTAGGTGTCATCACTACTCCTTCATGTGTTTGATATCATCTCATGTATTTAACGGATGTTGTGAAAGAATGACTTAATGGTTAAGACGTTGTTGTTAACCTGGGAAGAGAAATTCTTGAATAAAAGTAGTAATGGTAGACCTTGAGACATGAAATCACCGTAGTTGCAACCAAAACAATAAATCACGTTTGACGAGAATCACACTTTATACTGGCTGAAGTTAGAAATGCAGGCCACTAGATTACGACTCATTGCTTTAAAAGTATCAGAACAACAAATGCAGAAGAAAACGACCAGTGTAGCAGTAGGTCTCAATATACACAAAAGGGAAAAACAAGATTGTCCAATACAACACAGCATGCACCAATCCAGTCACAATTGACGGAGAAGATTTGGAAGATGTAAAGACCTTTACATATTTGGGCAGCATCATTGATGAACATTGGTGGATCTGATGCAGATGTGAAAGCGCGGGTCGGTAAAGCAAGAGCAGCATATTTACAACTAAAGAACATCTGGAACTCAAAACAACTGCCAACCAACACCAAGGTCAGGATTTTCAATACAAATGTCAAGACAGTTCTACTGTATGGCGCGGAAACCTGGAGAACTATGAAAGCCATCATCCAGAAAATACAAGTGTTTATTAACAGTTGTCTACGCAAAATACTTCAGTTCCATTGGCCGGAAACTATTAGCAACAAGCTACTGTGGGAGAGAACAAACAAGATCTCAGCGGAGGAAGAAATCAGGAAGAAGCGCTGGAAGTGGATAGGACACAGATTGGAGAGAGCACCCAATTGCATCACAAGGCAAGCCCTCACATGGAATCCTCAAGGCCATAGGAAAAGTGGAAGACCAAAGAACACATTACGCCGGGAAACGGAGATAGACATGATAAAAATGAACAAGAATTGGATGGAACTAGAAAAGAAGGCCCAGGACAGAGTGGGTTGGAGAATGCTGGTCTGTGGCCTATGCTCCTTTAGGAGTAACAGGCGTAAGTACGTAAGTAAAGAACACATGTTTGAATGTACTGAACTCAGTACTAAGTATGTAGATTGTTACTCTCTGTTTTCTATACTGTTTATCAGGCATTATTCACTTGCTACATCTGTTTTATTTTCTCAAATAATTAACTGTTTCTAAGTGAGGATGTTTGCTATTCAGTTTGTCTCGTGATCAAAGTAAAAGAATATCTTTTGGAGAACCAATGGTATTCCTTATAAAATAAGCTTTAAGATGGATTGACTAAATGTAGTGTCTGCTTCACTGGAGTTATTACAAATTGTATTTGGATAACCTGACGATGATAAAAATGCCGTTTACTGACAATTCATCTGTTAAAACAGTAGTTTGACGATCTGCAATTTGATTTTGACTATAATTTAGTGTTTCAAGTTCAATCATCATTTCTTTTAACAACTATCATACAGTTTTCAAGTGAATACCTCTTGTCCTTGATGTTTATCAGTAATTGGAAAAAAGCTGCCTTAATTACTTGATAAATGAACATAACTGACTATAGTGACAATAATAGGATTATAAAAAGCTTATAATAATTTAGTGAGTGTTACCATTTTCCACCCGAATACCGTATGATCAATTAGTTATACATTTCGTGACTAGTAAATTTAAATGATTTAGAAATTATTCGATTATTTTGTGTTTTTCACAACGAATTGTTTGACCCTTGAATCAATACCCGTATATGAGTATATAATAGGTATATACACCAATATGCATATACACTTATATATAAATTTCAGATAACAGATGAAGGCAAGCATTTACCTATTCGTAGCGATATCGTTTTGAACCAGTTATCATTTTAACTGACAAATATTGATGTTTTTATATTGATTAATCCAAGCACTGAAATAAGTTATGGATTTATTGACGAATAATATGGCACTTTGTTAATGTTATGGCAAAGTTTATCACTTCACCAATTCTTATTTACTGTTTTTAGCATCAGTACAATGAGCAGTCAAATATATTCAGAGTATATTGTATTACTCAATCTATGTGGCTTAAAATGGCCCTATGAAATAACATACGTCATGTTTATCTATTCATTGTTCCTTTAACTGTATGCCATTACTACTTACAAACTTGTTTACTTATGTAACTTTACTCTTTTGTCTTTGTTCTGATGTAATTATGACTGATAACTTTTATCTTTGTTAATAATATTCTAGGTGTAAAGTCGATAAATATAGAAGTAATCTGCCCTCAGCATCAATTATAATTTGTTTTCATAATGAAGCTTGGTCAGTATTATTACGTTCAGTACATTCAGTGATAGATCGATCTCCACCAAGTTTGTTAAATGAAATTATACTTGTTGACGATTTCTCTGATCGTCGTAAGTCGTGTCTATATGTTTTGATTCTCTTTACTATTGAGTTACTAATGAGGTATTTGAGCGATAATATTATTCCAGCTTTCAGTGTATCTTTACATCTTTAACGGCAAGACACCATTCTAGAAACATGTTTACATTATGAGATGCTTTTACTTCTTGTATTAATACTAACAAATTAAAGTTTTTTTGTAACGGAAAGAAAAGCCATGTGTTTAATTAATCGTAAATAAATATTAATTCATCTAAGAAATTGTCTCTGGAATGTCATTCTAACGTGTGTTGGCTTGATGAGCAATTAGTGTGACTTTAAAGTTATTAAAATTGATCTTTTTGTGGTTACTTGGTGAACACAAAATAACTCAAAAGTTGAGGATAATTTTGTTACGAGCCTAATCTATCTACGGTGATCAAATCTCAGCTCATTGATTGAAGTCAATGCAATACTTCTACGGGGCGCCAATGAACTCTGAACCTAGCCTTGTAACCATCGAAGAGATAATAAAAGAAAGTAAAACATTCTTTCTTCCTCCAAATGACAATGATATTCGGAAAGATGCATGAGTGTTTGCACATTATGTGTCCTTAGATATCAATCACTGGGGATGAGAGTTTCCTGGAACCTGACCCCCGGTCTTGAAAATTCAAAATGACAATTATTAAAACATTATTTTTGTGCTGGTTATAGTCGAGCATTTAGGAAGTAACCTAATATGGCTGAAGTGCACTTGACATGACTTCTAATTAGTACTGCATGAGTTACATCTTGAACATGGACATGATTATTATCAGTGCGGAAGGATTTGTGGAGATTGTAGGTTTTATTCCTGCTTTCGTATGAGTGAGAAACGCCGATAATAAAGGTACTTATAATATTTATTTACAATCTTGAGTGTTATGATGAATAACGTTAAAAAAATTAATCCTGCTAAGAAGAAACCGGTTTTAGTATTGACTAGTCTTTGTATCAGAGACATGGCATCTTCCTGTTCTCCCGTTTAAGTTTTGTACACATCATGAATCTCACAATATAGTTTCATAAAATTGTAACATCCCGTCGCAGAATTGGCCTTAATAAACGATTTTATTTATTATTATTTGTCATACGTTTTGGTTGTTTTTAATCACCCAATGTTCCTTCAAATATACTTTACTCTGTCCAATTATCTGAACACATCCTATTGCGTAATGCTTTAGTTTCTAATGAATGTTATTTCAGGATCTATATTTTACAGGTCATTGACCTATTTCTCATTATAAAATATTGTTTGAAGCGTTTGTTATTCTTACCACAACTAGTACACCTGTCATCACACTATCAATTTGTACTTTCTACTTATTATGTTTATTTATGTAATCCATCTCACTGTTATCACTGACTCATAAACTACCTTGACTGGTTTAATAATTTCGTATATGCCTGTAAATATTATTGTATATTAAAGTTTGGTGAGAATCTTATTGAAAACTATATTGTTCGTTTTTATGTGTTGTAGTACGAATAAGTTGTTTTTGTGATACTGCCACACATTACCTAATTGCTGTTTAATGCTCTTCAGCAGATTTGTCGTTTCCTGTGCTAATATGGTCTTATTTTGTGTTATATTCTCTTTCTTACAGTTATGACCCAGCTATTCCTATTACTTAGTATTCTCGGACACCGATTCACTCGACATGTCCCCAAATCAGAACACGGTTGAACAGGAAAGAGATTATATTCCGAATAACAAAGTTAGGTGGAAGTAAGAAGCACAATAGGGAAAACGTTAGTATATTTATAGTTTTTACATGCGAAGATTCTAGAGTATTCTCCAAGTATCGACTAGTGCTGATTGGATAAGAATTAGGCAATTAGCGTGCACCAAAGCAATCGTGCATTGAGCATGCTTTAATCCAGTCTATGTCCCGCAAACATTTTGTTACACAATAGGATGTAAATTACAGTTATAAGTTGTAGTTGTCTGGTAATTTAATCACAGAGTGTTTGTTCAGATTTGTTGTCATGCAAATGTATAATAAGTTTTATTCATTTTGATTTTGTATCGTTGTAGCCATTTTATGTTAAAGAGTCTTTTAAATATAAATATCGTGCAATCAATGTAGCTTAACGAATAGACAATTCTGTTCACTAAATAATTCATGTATTTGCATGTTTCTAGTTAGATTTTATTAAACATATATCAATTAGTCTAATAATTTCTGAAACTATTCTCATAAAGTTGAATAACTTCGTTTTTTAATATTAAGGAAATAAAAAAGATTGGAGAAAGTTGATAGTTATGAGAAAAAACAGGTTATAATAAGAGTTCAGTGTTATGATTTTGGTTATCAATAAAGTTTTAATTCATAAGGTATTGTGACCCATTTTCAACTAGATAGATTTTAGTTATTAGTGAGATTCATGAAGCGCGTTTCGTTTTATTTATCAATTGGATGTGCCTGCAACCTACTGTTGATATTCACAATGGGGCTCGAATCCAGTAGTTTTCATTTCCAATGCCCAACATGTTCTCCACTTAGCTACTGAGTTTATATAACCACCAACATGTAACGGGCACAATGTTGGTATTATCATTCATAAGTTCTCAAATTCACTTGTTGTTGATATTCACAATTTAATTTTGATCAGTTTTTGTTGGCAGCTTGTGACAGAATGATTACATCGAGGCAATCCTCACAGGATGCACATACATCGATAAAAACTGATCAAAATTCCATCATGAATAATAACGAAGGGATAATGTAAACCATTATTAATATTGATTCCTTGATCAAAATATTTTAAACTGAAGTACTGAGTTTTGGGTTTGAAGATCACCTTCACTGCTACAGTTTAATCAATCTTCATACAGAAAGGTTCGCCTTCAAGGCTACCAAGTGAATGTGTATTTTTATACCAAGTTGAAGTAATACTATAATACAATAATATACGTTGTGAGCAATACCACAAGGTAGTTTATAACAATTGTTAATTAATGACATATATATAATTTGTTGTATGCAACTACTACTAACGCGTATTGATGAGATTTTGTTCTTATCTAGAACTAAGAATTTAGCAATTTGATATAGAGTTGGAGCGGAAATTCGATGAAGCTGTCACATCAAAAGACAGAAATTTGATCGATTGTCAAATCCTAAGATTGAAATAATAGGCGGAATACTTTGAAAAAACAGTTTAACTACCTATCAGATACCTAGTGACTTGCACTAATTTACATCTCTTCGTATCCTCATTCGTGTGTAACTGACAAAGTTTTACATTGGCTGATATCAACCGGTAGAAAAATGTTGCACGACCGTCGACCATTGTCTTCAATGAGTAACTGCCATACAACAGACACGGTTGAACTTCACTGGCCATGGCCAATGGATTGGTTGAAGTTAGGCCAACCGGGTCATTGGTTTAAAGATTAATCATTCGTGCGCGAGGCCGAAAACCCTGGATTCGAGTCTCTCGTGTGGGCTCTTGTATTCGCAATACTGAGGAGTTCCACACTAGGACAAGACGGTCATCCAGTGTTTCCAGGTTTTCAATGATTTTTTAACATTAATCCATTCATGATATCAATTTAAACTCAACAATCTACACAACCCTATACTAATAAAAAAATATTGTATATTCGTTTTTTCTTTCTTACTGTCTATCCACAACTCCATACACATGATTACATCTAGTATCCGTTGGTTCCTCTGTAAGACCAGCTTCGAAAGTCGGTTCATGCATAAATGTTGGTGTACAACTATTGAAAAAAATGTAAAACTAAAAATGAAACCAATTTCTACACAATCTTCCTGATAGATGCATATGTTAAATATGTGATTAAAAATAGTAATGTCTGTATTTGTATTCTCTTAAATGTGTTATGTTAATTCAAGTTTCTTTAAAAGAAGAAAAAAAAACAACAGAACTGATGATTAAAATAAAATTTTAATTTATCATTATGTTCAATAAGTTGTTTCATCAGTATTAATAACATCTCTAAAAGGTTTGAATAATTTTTTCTGGTTAGCGTTTTTTTAGCGAGTTAGTTTTCTACGGGATGGGGACGCTAACACCATGCCCAATCCTCCTCCTTTATCCGGGCTTGGGACCGGCAGTAGCCCCCGGAGGGACACCAGGCGGAGTTAGTATTAATAATAAGTCTACTTTAAATAGTTTAATCAATCTAATCAAAGATAGTTTCCATTATAATTGTATTAACTTAATTAAAACGTACTAAGAATACAATAGAAACTATTTTTTTTTTAAAAAAAACATTAAACATAATAGTAACACTGACATTATGTACTAGTGATCTATATTGAGTGAGAATAATAAGCAAATTTTATTATTATTATTATTATTATTATTATTATTATAGTCGGACAATATTAAGTCAATAACCTATATGGTGTTCTATTGGTAAATATCCTCTTACTCTCTCTCTCTCTCTCTATCTGTCAATTAAAAGAAATATGAGCTTTTATTATATGAATTACTTAACTATTGACTCAAAAGTTGATTTCAATCGAAAATCGGTATATAAAAAAAGTTGTTCAATTCTAAACAAAACAAAAAATCGAAAAATAAATGAAGAAATAAACAACATTGAAATGTGTTTGAAGAAGAACAATGTAGTGCATATTTCACTTGGTATTGTTTGCTTGAATCTTTCCATTGAGGTTTAAAACTGTATTATTGCTTACAAAAAGCTTGTGAATTAAGGCAATATTGAGGCATACGTACAGTATGCACATATATGCCAATAACAGACTGATCAGTTGCAGTTTTAAAACTCAATCGGAAGATACAAACCAAACAATACTAAGTGAATTTAAATTCACCCCATTGCACAAGCAAGTGGCTATCAGGACTCAGTAACTAAGTGGATAACGCGATGGAGTTTGAAGAAAAAGGGATTAGGTTCGAGTCCCAGAGTGAACACTAACTCTCTGAGATGCAGGTACATCCAGCTAACGAGTCCCAAATAGGACGAAACGCACGTTCTGGATTCCACTAC